TGTATTAAAGTAGAAATAGCTGTTAGCAGGCTCAGCACGCAGGCATCCAATTCTGTCGAGTGCCGTCCCTGGTGCTGACGTTTATGTTGTGCCTTGTCCTGACGATTCAGCAGATTACTGCGCTGTTGTTTCTCCTGCTCGCGATTCTGGTGATTTATGAGATTAATGAGCCGCTATTTATGCTGTTCTTTGTCCTGCTGATTCAACGGATTGCTTCGCTGTTATTTTTCCTGCTCGCGATTCTGGTGATTCAGTAGATTAATGAGCCGCTATACGTATATGCTGTTCTTTGTCCTGCTGATTCAACGGATTGCTGCGCTGTTGTTTTTCCTGCTCGCGATCCTGGCGATTCAATAGATTAATGAGCCGCTATTTCTGCTGCTCTTTGTTCTGCTGATTCAACGGATTGCTGTGTAGTTGTTTCCGCTGCTTCAGAACCTGATGTCTGAACAAATCATATATTGTGCCGTTGCACGTTGATTGCCTTTGTAAGGTAGGTTTCGAATGCACCATAGCCTCTTAGGTATCTCAGGAGTGCCACGTGACGTGTAATTACAGACTATCAATCTCTACGCATGTGTTTAGTATTTATCAAAAGTGTAATTGGTGAATTTCTAATCTGTTCGCCGTTGTATGACTCATCTGACCAACAAATGTATAAACATTTAATTACTAAAAAGACCATTTCAAGTAATATTTTCATTATTATATTCGTAATATGAGAAATGCAGCTTGTTACGAAGGTATAAGGTGTTCATAATTTCTCTCAGCGTGTCATTGTGTGCACTAAATGTCGTGTGATAAGTTTAGCATTGACTAAGATAAAGAAATATCATTGTTCATAAAGCGGATACGACGGTAATGACCTCCTGCTCACTCACAACATCCTGGCGATCTTAACAAAGTATGCATCACACACTTGACGCCTAGGGCTTAGAAATTATCTAGTAATATTTTTGGAAATAACGTATTTTTGGAACCATGAGCAAGCCTACTTGAAATGGGCTACCTGCGTTACCCACGACTTGCTAATTGTTTACGCCTTTTAAAAAACGTTATATATATACGCCATGATTTTGTAAACAAACAAAATTCAGACACTTAATTCATGCATTTGTATCTTCATGAAAGTAATAAGATCGAGGGATTCGTCTTGCTCACTCGTGATATGAATTATTAGTGGCTCTTTCGATAATTTGTGGTGTAACCGATTTCTCTAATTCTATAAATGATTGGTGATGCCATCATTCGCATGGAAGTTCTTTGATATAATTTTACAAAATGAAAATGATACCATTCTTAAATAGTAGTACTTACATTAGGTATAAATTTCCTAGATGAAATGTATACCACTCATATATACTTGGGTAAAACATCTTTCATTACCTGCCGAACAATTCCCCGGACAAAATAGTGTATAGTGTCATGTCTTTGTTATATGCTTTCATGAGCTGGCGGCTTTCTCCAGGTCTTTAGTTTATGCCCGGAATTATTTTCATTAAATTTGAATCACGTCACTGATGAATTTCAATAAGCCGATCGTACGTGTCATGAATAACATAGAATTGTTTTAGGTGGCAAACAGGCATGACTCATGTCATGCTAGTCATAAAAGTTCTGATCGCATATTTTCATGTATGACTCGTGCACTTCCGATCCCGCTCCCTGTGGATATTCGTTAATATCTTCGTTATTTTGGTATCAATGTGGTATCATCTTTCTGTATCGCCATGAAGCGCTTGTAAAGCAGTTTTTGGTCTGTGTAGTGTTGAGAGGAAAAAATTTCTTTTTTTTTTCGTTACTCTATGAACAATAGTTTTTCACGCCCTGCCGTGAAGCTTTCCGTTGGCTGCTGCAGTGCAGCTGTTCGTTCTTCCATCATAAACACTATCATTTTTTATTAAATTATACCTTATTTTTTCATAATGTGTTCAAGTGTTAAGTGTGCTTATAAGTGAAGTTCGTCCGTTTTTGGCTACATAACCAATACAGAAAGCTATAAACATGGTAAAAATTGGTTGCATTGTATGCGCTTAATTTTGTGCCATTTTTCTTGACTTTCCATGCTAGACTTTTTTCATTTAAGCATTCACTCATTATTATTTGCTTCAACTCATGAATATTCAACGTTGCTATTTCAGTGGAAACGTGTATTTGAACGGCGGAAACCAAGTTTCTTATCCTACAATTTTTTTAATTGAATCGGGCTGCTGTGCAAGAGAGTCTCAAGTGGTGCTTACGTACTTACTGCTTCGCTCTCACGCGGCGCGAATCCTTCCACGCAGTCTCGCCTTTACTTCTCCTTCGGGTTAGTGGTTATTAACCCTCCTTTAAAAAATTTTCCTAGTCTTAATCATCGACCAGGCAATTGATATTAAAAAACACTGATTACTTACAAATAGATTTCGTTGAAACATTAATCAACGGTGTTTAGACGTCAGATGCCTGATGGGTCCAGAAATTGTTTGCCGGGGTTTGAGTGTGAAAATTTTAAAACTGCCGCCGTTGATTTTCGTTGTCATTATATTAACAAGTATTATATATTTGATAACTATTGTTCATCTATAGGTTCTAAATGTGTATGAATACCGGGTATTCCAAAACCCAATTCCATCACTGAGAGTTCTCACACACTCACATCATAAATATAGCTAGCTGCATTGCAGCGTTAGAGAAACACTCCTTGTTTAACGGCAAATTTGACTGGTTGTTTTGAGTGAAGTGTTATGGACGCATCGGCCGCACCCATGCACGTTGCGTCTGGTCAACAACCGCCGCACGCAGCTCCGTAGCAATGCCCCTGTTGTGTGCAGATAGTCAATATGCGAGCTAATTCTTGCTCACTTACGATCCAAAAGGATTCATTCAATTATGATAATTGAATGAATCCTCTTGAAAAAAATTTATTAGGTATTTACATTTTATTTACATTTTTAGAGTCCAGAAGTAAAATGTCGTTTTCACTTTGGTAACAAAGTTCAAGTTTTGCCTTCCTGTTTTCGACGCTATTGCATAATACGTTGCTCTGCACTAGCTTCTTGTGGTATCGCTACTTTCTCCATCCCCCACTTTTTTCATCAAATTCCTGTCTATCATATTCTTGTTTATCATTTGGCTCGAAATCTTTCAGAAAGTATAGAAGGCAAGAATTTCCTTAGTGTGCATGAATTCGATTGCACTCTTAGAACGGAGACTTGCAAAGCTGGCATCTTCATTTTACCATGTCGCTCGTAATATTTTTTTTAAATCGCGACCATATCTTAGGATGATGCATTACTTAAGGCAGTTATTGGCTCCTAACTCTCAGGTGTCGGTACGGACTTATCTCCTTGCAAGAGACTACGAGGGCTTAGTCCTGCTCCACACTCGCGTCTCTCCCCCTTCCTCTCACTTCCTCGTTTTCATTTTATCCCCACGTGCCGCTTCCCCTGTCCGCCTAAAGGGGCACCCATGGTCTGCTGGCGCCACTTCGCACAGGCTGCTGCTGCTACAATTCCCTCCTGACAAATGACGTTGAAACAACGTTTATTACAAGCTAATTTCGGTGAAACAACGTTTAATCTACGTTATTTCAATGTCGGATAGGTACCTTGGATATGCCGGCACTACAGGCCAGTGCTGTACAGCACCGCTATGAGAGAGATCCCTGCTTCCCTGCCTGACGCCGGCCTTCAGTGCAGCCTAAAGTCACGCAGCTCATCGCCTCAACTGCTTGTCTAAAAACGTTCTACATTACAGGGATTGTCTTACCTTTCTCTACTTTCGTTTACGGCTATTTAAGGGCTCGCGTGCGCGCGTCATGATTGTGGAATTAACGGTTATTGAGAAGAAACTCCGTATTAACACTGTTCTAATTTTAAACGGGATTTCATCACCGAATTACTCCACCAGACGCCTAATGGCTGGTTAAATGATATTTTGTGTGGTTAAGGAATCAATGTATATTTACTGATCGTAATTGATTCAACGCTTGAATCATTCGTATTTTGATTTTGAAGAAAATAAGAATTGATTTAAAATTTTGAGGTTTATCTGCTCAAATGAAGATTCAAATCTATGTGTGAAAAGAAAAAAAATTACGACTTCATATATGTGGGAATTACTAGAGTGTCTTTTGTATAGCTACTTTTCATTACCATTATGGCTGCTCCCGGACCCTTTATGAATAAGATGAAACGTCCATTAAATTTGAATCCTGACCTCTATTTCAACTTTAATGTCCATTTCTGAAATCATATTCGATCATACATTTCATATTTTCATGTATTTTCATATTCATATATTCATTTTCATATATTTCAAGCTATCGATAAACGTACGACCAAATTAAGTGAAATTTCCAAGTTATTGTTAAAAACGTTATTATATAGTAATACCTATTTCTGCCAAGAGATTATAATTTTTTTATCCATAGTGTGTCAACGTTGCATTATTGAAGTGGGATTATGGATGAAATTGAATTTTAACTGGTTAACTAGTATTTTACTTGAAGTGAGCAAAACAAGAACTGTGTGTCGTGTCTTAACGCTTGATGAGTGGCGGCACTCCTTGCCTGCATGGCACGGCCGAGCAACAGAGCCTCAGCTCTTCTTATCTGACGCTATCCGCTCTCTAACTTTCCGGTGTGTTCTTCTTCTTCGTTTACTCTCATCCTCCCGAGTACTTTCCATTTTCTTTAGCATTTGTTGCTGTATTTCCGTTCACCCATCTCGCTTATATTCTGTTAGTAATAATATTTGTATTTGATATTATTATTATTGTACAAGTGTTAATATTAGTAATAAAAGTATTAATATTAGTAATACAGGTATTATATGTGATAATACTAGTATGCTATTGACTCTATTTTGTTTTTCATCTTCACTTACCTTGCATCGTTATTGCTTCATTGCTCAAATGTTGCGATTCTCCGTGGATTACTAGAGTCGGCCTCAAATCATTCTCTTCGCTGACGACGCTTTGAGTTTCTAAATAATACTAACAAATTTATTTCCTTGCAGAGCCTGGATAAGGATCGCGAGGGCTTGTCTCGTATGAAGAAGGCTGTCAAAAACATGTACGTCACAGGACAAAGTAAGTGATCTTGCTGCCAGTTTTGTTTCGTTTTTTTTTTTCTTATTTTGCTTAGTTCGTGTGCGTTGACCACAAACGTGCTCGCTTATTTAGTTAACACAATTTATATACGAATTTATTCGGTGTTATTCTCCTTTGGTTTGATGTGAGTGCTGAGAGTTTTTGTTAAGGATTTTTCTAATATTGTTATTTTCCTCATGTTCGTTTATTCAATTTTTACAGACGTCTTGGGCCTCTCACGATATTTCATTGGAATCCATAGTTATTCGCTGTTACCCCATACAGAGTTACCATTCAGAACGTCAACCATAGATTTTTCTTAAATTCTCGTCATGTTCGAAAAGTTCTCCAGTTCCGCATGTGTTTCACAACTTGTGTTGTAATACTGGGAGCCGGAGCTGGGAGTTAGTTGAGGCTGCTGCATAGTAAGCAGCGGCTAATGACTTTCTGATGAAGTGCAAGTGCTTCAAAACCATGTCATATTATCTTACTGTTGCACGCTCTGTGATGTTTAGTTCCTGAACCTTGAGGATGTGTTGTGTTCACAGAGATTATTTCTCACTCTCATACGCAACAAATTTTAAATGCGTTTTAAATTATGTGATGATATACATACGTATTTCCCATACGTTGTAATTAATATTGTAATCTACAACGAACATTTGCATTTTCGTGCTATTTCAATGTCCACGCACGTTTGCTTATGCCTTATTTTTTGACTGTCTAGGAACGTTTGCATTCTCATACTTCTCTTCTAATCTTTTACGAGCATATGCATTTTCATTCTTTCATATAATCTTCAACATACGTTTGCATTTGAGAGCTTCACTTTAATCATCTTATATTAATTAAGTAGCAGGTAATATGGTTTAATTATGACACTATTATAATAATAAATGAGCACTATTGTTACGTTTCTCAAACTTTTCCATGTTGACGCTTTACTTTAATAAACTTTTAGGACGTTAGGTCTCACCAGTGCTTGAATTATCGTGTTGCACGGTTATTTAATTTATTTTATAATCTTTGTTTGCTTAATATTTCTGTGTGTTGTTACCAGCGTTCGTGTCGGCGGGGCAGGACCTAAGCGAGGGCCTGCAGAAGCTGAAGCAGCTGGGGTGGCGGGAGGACGAGCAGCAGCTCAGCGAGGCCTGCAACAAGTTCTCTGTAGTCATCCGCGAGCACTCGCAGCTACTGGCCCAGCTCGTATGTTGATATTTGATAGCATGTTGATACTTGATCTTGTGTTGATACTTGATCTTGTGTTGATACTTGATCTTGTGTTGATACTTGATCTTGTGTTGATACTTGATCTTGTGTTGATACTTGATAGCATGTTGATACTTGATCTTGTGTTGATACTTGATAGCATGTTGATACTTGATCTTATGTTGATACTTGATCTTCTGTTGATACTTGATCTTATGCGAATAGTTGATTGTACGTTGATATTTGATCTTATGTTGGTACTTTATCAAATGTTGATACGTACTTGATCAAATGTTGATACTTGATTTTATGTTGATAGGTACTTGTTAGTAAGTTGATACTAAAACGTATTCGAATAGTTGATTGTATGTTACAAAAAGCGACTTACTTGAATAATTGAAAATTTGCTTAGCTCTGCTCGTATGTCGATGCTTACACCGAGCTAAATATTTGATTATTTGCACACTTGCCTTGCTCAGCTCGAATGCTGATGCTTAACTACACACTTGAATATTTACACACTTGTAACTTTACCCTATGAACACTTGGGTCGTATATATAAGGAATCAGTTGAAGGAAGTTCCTATTGGTCTTATATAAGGAGGTATTGGAGCCAAATGCAGAAGGTATATTACTAAAAGTTACTTGATGAGCGTAATCCAAGTTATGCTGTGCAACCTTATTTTTCATTACCAGGCCATTAAATTTGAATAAATATAATAATAGTTAATTTCCCCGCAGACGAACTTGTGAATGAAAAAATGGGTCTGTTTTGGGCGAATTTATGTACTATACCTATTCGTTACTTTGGCACTCTGGTTATGACTGTTACTGTAATTATTGCCATCTTTGCGCTGGACTGAGGAATTAGTCACCTTTAAGCTGGGATATATTGCCTTTTTATATCAGTAGTGTACCTCGTATTATCGTTTGCCGTTTATAAATTCATTAATGAAAACTCATGCCATTGTGTGTTTTTAGTCATACATTTACAGTGTGGACAGTGAACGTGTCAATAATAAAGTTCGTCCGCGAATCACTTGGATTCCGACGAGTGCATAACAAACGCCCCCTCAGTAGCAAATTCACATTTGTCTTCGATGCTTTGCATCAATTCCAGCAATACTTTCTCATGTATTATCATCTGAGTATGTTGATTGAGCTTGTTTCTTTACAGCTAACGAACCAACGGAACTATTTACTCAACCCTCTGGACAGCGCTTTGAAGGGCGAGCTGAAGGGCGTGAAGGGCGACCTTAAAAGGCCTTTTGACAAAGCTGCTAAAGACTATGATACTAAATTCTCAAAGATCGAGAAGGAGCGCAAACAACAGGTAATTTAACCCCCAGCATTAACATTGTTCGAGAGGCTGACCTGCAAATTTTCGATTCTTAACATACAAGTATTTTGTTGATCAGTTTTTTTTTCTCATCGAGCTTGAACTTAGCTTTTGTCCCATTATTTGTATATTAATTAATAGTTCTTGCGCATCTTTTCTTCTTAGTTATTCGTGTTTAACGATTTTAAGCGTGAGGTTGCGTTTTTAATTTGAATACAATAACTTCTGTATCCCTTGTATATGTGATTAAATATCCCGATTGATTCGCTAAATATGTCCTCTCGCACCAGGCTAAAGAGGCGGGACTAATCAAGAACGCGGTGGGGCCCTCAGAAATCGCTGAAGACATGAGCAAAGAGCGACGTTTGTTTCAGCTACACATGTGCGAGGTCAGACTTGATAATTTCTTCAAATTTGTTTTAGTTCCTAGAACAGTTTTTCATCCTTTACGCATTTGCCTTAATCGAATTTTTTTAATAATTTACAATACGTAGCTCCTGTATTGCATTGCACTAGCTTTGCATTTTTTATTGTATCTGTACTGATTTCCTTTCAATGATTTCTGAATTTTTTTAGGTTTTCTTTTTGATTTAACTTGATTATTTTCTGTCCCTAATAATTTTTCTGCTTTATAATTATTATTTTTTAATGAAAGTATTTTCGATTTACAGGATACAAATTATTGTCTATAACTTGCGTTCAATTTCTCTTTACAGTATCTCATCAAAGTCAATGAAATTAAGACGAAAAAAGGCGTGGAGTTTCTTCAGAAGCTCGTCGAATATTACTACGCTTACTGCAAGTGAGATCACTGTTCTTACAATTAAAAATATCTTGAAGACTTTTACTTCTTACCCTGTCATTATGCATTAAACTCACACAAAAGATAATGTGCACAATTCCAGTCCTACTAATTAATTAATTTTTTTAATGCAAGGCTGTATTCATCGGGAATTGTCAAAAACTCTGTCACATTTGTGTCACATATACGTATAATATCAGTTAATTTTTTCATCATTTAAAAGACTAGGGTTTTGTGATGTAAAATTTGAAGTGCCTTGAAGTAAAATTTCAACGTAAACTATGTTAATGTGTTTTACGTTACGTTTGAATGTAGATAAAAGTCTTATGCATAATTGTGCAGATACTTCGAGGAAGGTTTGAAGACGTGGGAGCATTTCGGCACGTACGTGTCTGAGCTGAGCGACCGTCTGAAGGAGGTGCGGCACCGACACGAGGAGGAACGACGGCTGCTCGTCGAGACACGAACACTTATCAAGAACAGCCTCACGTCTGAGAACTGTGACGGCACTCAGGTGCCTCTGCCTGCCTTTTAAGTTCCTGGCATAAGTGTTGTTCTTTTAAACTACTTTCGTCATTACTGTTTTATTGACGTTTAGATGTCTAGGTATCAGCTGCGACGGCACTCAGGTGCCTCTGCCTGTCTCTCGGGTTCAGGCATAAAAGTTGTTCTTTTAAATTACTTTCGTCATTACTGTTTTTGTTTTATTGACGTTTAAATGTCTAGATGTCAGCTGTGACGGCGCTCAGGTGCCTCTGCCTGTCTCTCGGGTTCAGGCATAAAAGTTGTTCTCTTAAACTACTTTCGTCATTACTGTTTTTGTTTTATTGACGTTTAAATGTCTAGATGTCAGCTGTGACGGTGCTCAGGTGCCTCTGCCTGTCTCTCTGAAACTACTCACATCTTTACTATCCCTTGATGTTTCAATGTCTGTAATGATGCTGATTGTGTTGTGTTCAACTTTCTTCGAATGTTAATCTATGTGATTTTTATTCTATTGTCGTTGTATAAATAATCTTTGGAAGATTGCATTGTTTGCTGTTCTTTAACTGCTTAACACATCTTAGTTTTCAGGTGTTCTTCATTGTTTGACGATACCTTCTTAAAATTGAATGAGAGTGTTCTATTCTAGAAAGGTTTTAACTTATTAATTGAAAGGGCGCTCTTTTATTATTCAATTATATTCGTCTTATGTATCCTTTGATTTACATGAACTTCTATTGAATTCCAAGTATTCGACATTACATATGCGCAGTATTTTTGCAGGCATTTCTTCGCCCCGCAAATTTTATTCTACTCACTTGAACTGAGCAGTAGTTTTATTCAATCCACTGACATAGGCATTGTTCATGCTATGAGTTTTAGTAATATAAGTGTGCTTTTTTCGTATGCAGCCAGGGACAGGTGGTGCAGGCGGGTATCTTTTGCACCAGCCGTGCGGCAACGAGATGGACGGCACCAACAAGACGGGCTACCTCTTCAAAAAAAGCGACAGTGAGCGTTTTGTTCGACCCGCTTTCTTTTTGGTATTAATTGGTATTAGATGGGCAGAATTTTCTTGTTTATACATGCGCCTGATAAATACTGTAGTTAGGGAATAGATAGCTTGAGAATCCATGGAGATGAAGGCAAAGTTTATTACCTAAAACATTTGGTATCACTAGACCGTCATTTGAATCTACATCTTTCCAAAGAATCATTTATTAGTAATTAGAGTTAGTTTAATTATGATTTTGTAGCAATAAAAATATTAGACTCATAAATCGGATTCGATTATAATTCTTTTTTTTATGAAGAAGTAATATAACTGATATTATTGTTTTACCTTGTATCAAGGTGTACTCAAATTACAATACATCAACTGCATTCTCTTGATTAAGAATAAATTTTTAGTGATAGTTCAAATATATGTTTGTGTAGCGTTAAAACTAGAATTTTATTTCACGATTTATCACTCATTTTTCTGTTACTATTAAACCTGTTACTGTGCAGTTGTAAAGCTGACTTAGATATTGAAGTGTTATGCCACTCTGTGCACGTTGCCAGTGAATGTTGTGTTTTGTGCAGGCAAAGTACGACGCGTGTGGCAGAAGAGGCTGTGCGAGGTACGGGAGAGCGTGCTGCTCATATACCACAGTGACACCACCGCGGCGCCTGTCAGCGTGCCGCTACTCACGTGTCAAGTCAAGCCACATCCTGACGACCCCAAGTGCTTCCATCTCGTGTCGTGTGAGTCCACTCATGCCATGTGAATTGTACATGTGTATCAATGCTTGTCGAGAATCCCACTTTAAAGACCCCAAGTGCTTCCATCTCGTGTCGTGTGAGTCCACTTATGCCACGTGAATTGTAAACCAGCAATTTAAAAGCAACGAAAATAGCCAAAGAATTTAGAAATAATTATTTTTAAGAAAATAGCCAAAGAATTCTTAAAAAGAAAGAAGCCAAAAAGTACACCATTTATTATAAGAGAAAACATTTCGGAATGGAAAATGGTGAACTAACTAAATCGTGAACTTTTAGCTATTTTCTTTGCTATTCAATTACTGGTAAATTTGCGATTTAAGCAACCATGTGATTTTAATACATATATGTGAATTGTAAATGTGTGTTAATGCTTGTCGAGAATCTCGCTTTAAAGACCCCAAGCGCTTCCATCTCGTGTCGTGTGAGTCCACGTCTGTCTTGTGAATTGTGCATGTGTATCAATGCTTGTCGAGAACCCCACCCTGAAGACCCCAAATGCTTCCATCTCGTATGGTGTGAGTCCACTTATGCCATGTGAATTGTAAACCAGGAATTTAAAATCAAAGAAAATAGCCAAAGAATTTAGAAATAATTTTTTTAAGAAAATAGCCAAAGAAGTCTTAAAAAGAAAATAGCCAAAAAATTCAGCATTTCTTATAAGAGAACACGTTTCGGAATGGAAAATGGTGAACTTTTTGGCTATTTTTTTGCTTTTAAATTACTTGTAAATTTGTGCTTTAAGCGACCAAGTGATTTTAATACATATATGTGAATTGTACATGTGTGTTAATGCTTGTCGAGAATCCCACCCTAAAGACCCACCCAAGTGCTTCCATATCGGATCGTACGAGTTTATTTCTGCTCTGAAAATCTCAAGTCCATTCTCACGTTTATTGTGTTACCAATGGTTTGCTGCTTGCAAAGTTTGCCAGTTTTAATCTCCTTTAACCTTTGTCGGACTGCAGGCATACCACTATACCTACGCTCGGTAATATTATAACTTTGTAAAATTATGCAGCGTGACAAATTTAGAAAAAAAATTGCGCACTAACCTCGCATTGAAATCTGCAGAGAAGTATGTTTTGACCAACGTAAAGAGAAGTACTTGTAAGGAGTATTATTATTAAATTGCTAACTTTTGCTTAATAAACTGCTCTGATACAACGTTGATCTATATGGTGATTAATTTGACTTAATATATGCGATAAAAGTATTTATGATTTATCTGATTTAATGATATCATTTCAGATAACCGCACATACCACCTCATGGGTGAGAGCGAAGCTGACACGAATTTATGGATATCCGTGCTGCGCAACAGTAAAGAAGGTGAGGCATGTGTTCCTTGTCATGGTTTTTATATTTGGTACGGTTATTTACATTGTCTTCTGGCGTGTAGAAAAATATATAATAGTGCTATATATTGTCAGTAATTGCTTGTGTTTGCTTAATCACTTACATTTTTATCTTGGAATGGAAGCCTTTTAAACGCTGTTCCTTTTGTTTCACCTTAAATACTGCTGCACAAATGAAGTAGCAAGCCATCCAGTTTTGCAGAATTCATGTTTCTCTCGACATTTAATTATCATACGTCGTGAAAGAATCTCTTGAGTGTACAATTGTTAACTGACATCCATAAAAATTCTCACTGCCGCTCATATACAGCAATTTCTACATACTCATTGTGTGATCAACTCGTTATTATCAAGAGATCCACCATGTAAAAAAATTAAATGTAGTTCAGTAGTAAAGTACAGTTAGCAAATTTAAATGTAAGAATTAACTTTGTCGGTGATATAGTTCGCTCCGTAGGATTTTGTGCTTCTTAGGTGGCACTCTAAATCGTTTTAAATAAGTCGTGCCACCTACCAGGGGCGCTGCAGAAAGCCTTCCTGGAGGAGCGGAGCGGCAGTTTGAGTGGCGCTAGTGAAGGAGGCCGGGATGAGGGAGGAGGAGGCTCGTTCAGAGAACTGCAGCAGCGCATCATATCTTATGTGTTGGCCCTGCCTGGCAACAACCATTGTTGTGACTGCAACGGCACCAATGGTAAGTGACTGTTTTCGTATTCGAGGTTCAAACCAGAGGTATGCAGAGGTATTCGAGGTATGCAGTCATGAAGAATAAAATTGTGAAAGATGAACATCGTTCACTATTAGCCGTGTTCATTTCTGGTCTCGTGTGCATACCGAAAGCCACATCTAGCGTGGCCGCCTTAGTAACATCGATTTCCGGACCTTACTTGGGCGGTAGCGACGTAGTGCAAGGTCAGGTCTGAGCGGCTGTGAGTCAGCTAGTCGTCGTGTCCCGCCAGCCCTACAATGAGGTTCTAACCTGAACTCACCTCGCTCCGTTGCTAAGTTAGCCATCTTGTGCTCCAACGCTAGTTTTTGTGTGGCTGTGCTCTATATGCTCCATCAAGTAGTGTAATGTCAATCGTGCTTGTTCTGTTATTTTTTTAAACGTATCCCTTTAAAGTGCTTTGCTGAAATGAAACTAAGTATTACCGTGTTAACCGAAGTTTTAATGAACGGAATCCTAGTGCAATTGAACTGTTCACATTATAGTTACCGCCCCGGCGTTTGGCCGTAAGGGCTCTGATCATTCTGACAAGTTTAATAGTTGCGGCCGGTGTCCGGTGACAAAATATATATTTTGTCACCGGACAAAATATATATCCGGAACATATATATCCGGAAAATATATATCCGGAACATAAATATAAACAGTGGCATGGAATGTAAAAGACATTTAATTATTTCTTGCATTATTTATTAGCTTGATGTGATATTTATGAATAATACTAATTTGTTTCAAGCTGACTAATTCTAGTTGAAGTATATATACAAATCTATTTAATTGATGTTTCATTTTGACAAGTACGTTAAAAGTCTTTGCTCATAAATTTAATGTAAATATCTTTTCAGACGTGACATGGCTGTCTACAAACTACGGCATCGTTGTATGCATAGAATGTTCAGGCATACACCGAGACATGGGCGTCCATGTGTCCAGAATACAGAGCCTCACGCTCGACAAGGTCAGGCTCGAAGCCCGTGGCCGCTGTGATATTCTTCCTTCTGTATTTATTCGATTTTTCCAATGTTATATTTCGGATTTGTATTGGATAGTTTAATTTAATATTTTTTATCGTATTTGGAGAATTGATAATGTCAGACGATCTATTGATATTTTTCCATCTCTTATTAATCAATTCGTCTACTTGTAAACACATGTTCTAAGTATAATGTGAGATCGCGTTATGGTAGCTGCGCCATATATATAGGCTACCTACTGTATTGAGATCGCCCGGCAGTTCCTTACTCCAACATATACCTCCTAGTTCAAGTGTCGTTCATGTCTCAAACCCTGTATGCTTCTAGTACTTAATATCTAGTATATCTAGTACTGAACATCCTGCTATAGTCACATAGAGGTGCAAAGAACTCTGTCGCCATCAGAGACATTCAATAATTAACGATATTCCGAGACCATGGAACCCGTGTTTGACAATAACTAAAGAATAATTTGATGACAATTGTTCATATTGTTTCATGGCTATTGTGTTGTTGCGTGCAGATTGGCACAGCTCAGCTGCTGTTGGCACGGCACTTGGGCAACACGTTATTTAACCGCATCATGGAGGCCTCGGAACACATCAACAAACCTGCACCCTCAAGCTCCATGTGTGTGCTCACTTCGCTGCTGCTATGTTCCCATATTTTTGCTTTTCTAGGTATCTCGTCTAGATTGTTTTGAATTTTAATCATTCACTAAATGTAACTTCGGAATCGTTGTCAACTGCGTTTGTTTGGAGACCGAAATGAATAATTAATTAGTCAAGCCAACGATTATAGTATTTTACGTGTTTTGTGTATGGGCCTTCATCGTACGTGTCAAGGTATGACTGCGTGCTTGATTTAGCGCTACTTACTTCATGACTAACGTGAAACAGCAGTACAGTCACGGTAGTTTCACTGCGCTATTAATACAACTAGATTCATGTAGGTCTAAATTAGTTGTGAATGCAATACTATTAGTTATTTAAAATCTTTAATTGTAATTTATTTGTATTGCAGGGAAGAGCGGCGGGAATTTATTCAGTCGAAATACTTACGTAAGGCGTTCGTCGCTCCCTGCGCTCCGGGCGTTTCACCCCAGCAGCTGCTGCAGGAAGGTCTCAGCTCCAACAGCCTCATAGATGTCATCACTGCCTTCATGCAGGTAACATACGCTTTCTAATATCATTAGTTTATACAATATCATACGAGATTAGTTTCCTATTAGCACACATTCGCCATCAAAATTAGCATTTATGAATAAGTTTATATATTATCATAGGTGTTTAGTTTCCTATCAGTACACATTTACCATAAAAATTTGCGTTTATGAATAAGTTTATATGTTATCATAGGAGATTAGTTTAATATTAATACCCATTTGCCATCAAAATTAGCGTTTATGGTATCAAAATTACTAAATTAGCCATATTTCCAACATCAATACGCGTCTATTTGGAAAACTTGACGCAAACGTGTAGTCCACGCCAAAGGCATCGTTTTCACGTTAGTGAAGAATCAGAGAAACATTTACGCGGTACTCTTGATTTTGTTCAGAATTTTTTAGGGGTATTTTAAAGGTTATCTTGTAATTCACGTTAAAATCAAATTCTAATTAATCGATCCCACCTTTAAATGACAGGGAGCAGATCTGAATGCAAGCATCAACGCTCTGGGAGAGACAGCCCTCCACGTAGCCATCGAATGCGGCGTTTCGCTTCCACTCTTTGACTTCCTTCTCCAGAATTCAAGATCTCTTAATGCTCAGGTTCGTCTCTTGTAACTCTACGTGGCTATTGATAACGCATGAGCACTGATCTATTGCAGTTCAATACTTGTTCTGCAGTTTCATTTCACAAATGTGTTAGAGTCCGCATGAGGGTTCTCTACGTTTGTCATCAAAACCTTCAACTATGCCACTTGTTACGAAAAACTAATCTAATCTTGTTTCAAGTTGTGAACACCAGCTTATTGCCATCTTGAACAGCATTTTATTAAGTATTCTTTTATTTTTTTTGTTAATTTTACGTTTCTTAAAATTTTTGGAGTTGTCCAAGCATATTTTGGAACTGGTCATTCCAGTTATAAAGATAGGCGCTCGCCTTGATCCGTTTTAGATGCTTATCACTACATAGAAGTAGGGGATGCTTGTCTGCACTTGCTCGTGATTTGTTAAATATAGTTGCTGAATTCTAGAATTTTTCTTACAATTCAAGAAACGGAAGTGAATTATATCACTTCTAAACCTTTATAAAGCACCATGAAATTGTATGGTTTCATTACTCTGTTCTCCATATAACCAGACAAGCGAAGGCAACACTGGACTGCACTACTGCGTGATCCATGGACGCAGCGAGTGTCTGCGTCTGCTGCTGCGTGTGGACGCTGACCCCAGCCTCACCAACACCAACGCTAAGACCGCCCTCGACATCGCTAAGGAACGCGGCGCTAAGCTCTTCGTGCATATGGTGGGTGTCAGCTGTGCTTTGGGTGATGAGGTCTGCACTTGAGGGTGGTGATATGGATGAGGTCTGTATCTGAGGGTGATGATGTGGTGGTGATGAGGATAAGGTCTGCATCTGAGGGTGATAATGGTGGTAGTGTTGATAGAGTGTACACCTGGGGCTGATTATCGTGGTGGTAGTGATAAGGTCTCGTCTGCACCTTAGGTTGGTGATGGTGGTGATGATGGAGTCTGCACTAGATGGTGATGATGATGGTGGTGGTTATGATCAGTCCTTACCTGAGGGTGATGAGGTGGTCTGCATCTGAAGGTGTTGGTGGTGGTGATGATGTCTGCATCTTAGGGTGATGATGTCTGCATCTAAGGGTGATGATGGTGGTGGTGTACAGACGCTGGTTGTTTTTCGGTCGCTAGCGTATAGTAAAGACTTTTGTGTTAGTTGAATGAATTAATTGCTGTTAAATTATTTTACCTAATTGAAAGAGGTTTTCTCAATCGTACCGGAAGAATATGTTGTGATCTGCGAGAAAAGCCTCGCGTATTTTCACTTAATATTCACCTAATAAAAATGTATTGTGTCAGTTGGAGCATCCGCCCAGTGGGCAGAAGAAATCACTTTTTGACAACGTGGAGTTTGAGTGGAACCTCGACGACGATAACTTCACTGACGTGTCTGATGATGACGACGGCTGGCGGGTGAGCTTTTCTTCTTAGCAACTACATTTGCTCAGCTTTCAAGCTTTAGCATCTCGATTTGCTCAGCTTTCAAGCTTTAGCATCTCGATTTGCTCAGCTTTAAAGCTTCAGCATCTCGATGTGCTCAGCTTTAAAGCTTCAGCATCTCGATTTGTTCAGCTTTCAAGCTTTAGTATCTCGCGAACCCCACACTTGTCGGTGCGGAAAGCGGATGGATGCACGAGGACTGCATGGCCTTTCTTGTAAGTACAGCGCTGAGCGACATCCAAGACACTCGGCTCTGAACGATGTTATCAGGAGGGCTCTTCAGAGCGCTGGCGTTCCTTCATGCCTTGAACCCGTTGGAGTGGACAGAAAGGATGGTAAGAGATCAGATGGCTTAAGAGTTTTCCCATTTTCTAATGGGAGATGTTTGTGCTGGATGCAACCTGCGTCGACACTTTTGCTGAGTCGCACGTCAATAATTCGGCTATTTCTGCTGGGTTCGCGGCTCGTGCGGCGGAGGATAGCAAGAGACGTAAATACGCGGCGTTGGCAGCTCGGTATCGTTTCGAGCCAGTCGCATTAGAAACGACGGGCACATATGGTGAAACGACTGGTTCTTTAATATCACATAGAGCTTCAGCATCTCGATTTGCTCAGCTTTAAAGCTTCAGCATCTCGATTTGCTCAGCTTTAAAGCTTCAGCATCTCGATTTGCTCAGCTTTAAAGCTTCAGCATCTCGATTTGCTCAGCTCTGCATGGTTTTTATTTGGTCTCATATACACTCATTAGAATTTCGAGTAGATTTATTTTTCGCATTCGAGTGCAGCTCGTATCCTGCTCAATATAATGAGTTTCATACTCTTCGTTTCTTGCCAGTAATGCATTTATTCAGTGCAACTCGTTCGTAATGAATATTTTAAATTTGTGTCATTTCTTGCTCTGAAGTCATGAAAGATTCATCACGTCCCGTGTGCTAATCACGTTTTTTGATCCCACTAGTTTCTTCTAGCTATAAGTTGCAAGCCTTGCAGCTTAAAATAACCGCCAGGGTGTACCAGTTTTCGGAACATTGTCTTCTAAAATCCGCTTATATTATTCCTCAGAACGGAGAGCTGCTGACGCCCGAGAAGCGTTTACGTCCCACCAGCCTGCCCCCTCCTCCTGGCGACCACTCGTCTCATCACCACCACCAACATCACCATCATAACCATCACTATAACGCTCCTGAGTCACCTCATTCAATTCATCGTCATCGCCATCATGGCAGCACGAGCAGTAGCAATAGCAACCACCATCACCAACATCACCGCAACACCATCATTGCAGGAGGCAGTGTCAAATCAGGTTCGCTTTGTGAATATACAAGGAGATATTTCTGTTATCTTCAAATAGTTGTAGATCTGTATTTGGTTATTAGCAAATGTCAAAGAGCTTACTTCAATCTTTCAATTTGTAACAAACTGAGCAGCATAGTTTATTATGTGCTCTAGTTCTCCCACAATATTGAGGCATGGAAGTAGAATCAGAACATAAATGAAATCCATCACGTCACCTTGGCTTAGAATAGGACCGTTCGCCTGCTTGAAATAAAACATTTTATGTGAAATACTTTTCTGCCAAAAACGACATCGAGACTCACGATCTGAAGTAAATAATGAATTCCTAAACTTGGGTTACGTAGAATTATTCCAATATATATATTCAATAAGCAGCTCCTGCAAAGTTTGTCATAAGTTTTTCATAGCTTCGGATTGGCAAGTAGTGAACTTTTTCTTCTTGTTTCCATTCTTCGGCAAGCACAACAATTGTACATACATCTAATTATGAGTTACTTCATTTAATATTCGTATTTTATGAGTGTCTATGTTAAAATCAAACTAATTACAGGATATCGGGATTACTCGCGCCATCCTCGCCCTCCGGACTGCCAGCCTCCCCCTCCTCCGCCCCCCATTGCTGCTAAGCCAAGTTAGTTTCAATGCATCCTCTTCATGTATATTTTTTTTATATAAATGTTGCTATTTACACTTTTTCCTGCTAACCGACCGTTCAACTCTCCAATTATTTCTACGTATCCTCTAAAAATATGTTTGTGAAAATAAATTTGTTGATTTAATGTTACAAAAATCCAATGTCGGTTATATCTATTTCATCTTGTGCCTCAGGTTCATCATTCCTGAACAACAGCAGCAGTAACAACAATAACAACATGGGAAGCTTGAAAAAGCGACCAGCTCCGTACCCTCCTCCTACTGGGACCTCTCTTCGTAGTGGCATGATCGTTACTGAACCCTCCAGTCACTATGCTTCTACATCGTGCTCCACCGACACCATAAACAAACAATACAACAACCGCACCACCTCAGACTACGCCTCAACTCGACGCGACAGCAACATGAGTCTTGACAGAGACTCTTTCGACAGGAGGGATAGTGGCGGAGGTGGCACTTACAGCACGTACAGTACGGGTCATTACAGTACAAGCAATGTCAGCTCTGAACCGCCCGACATGTATGGGTCGCATAACTTGTCTGACTCCACAGGCGGTTACTCAGAACTGCCAGCCTACGGTAAAGGCTTCGCCGGAGCTCAGCACGCGGCATCGAACAAACTCAAGAACAACCGATGCCACCGGCGAAGCCCGTCTTCTGACTCAAGTAACAGCATTTTCTTTGTACCCACGGGCAGTAAGAGCAGTAACAACAGTGCTGCCACTGCTATTGTTGACTCTGTCCGGACATGTTCAGGTTACTATTATACAGACTCGGGTGTTAGTGGAGGCGGTGTATCTACCTTTATAGGCGTTACTAACACTCAGCAGCTTACTGTCACTAACTCCTCCAGCACTAGCACCTCGCCTGGTGGCGCTTGTATGTCACTTCCTCCTGATGCAGTTTCTTCATCTTCTGCAGGTCTCACTTTCACGACTTTCCCTTCTCCCACTCTAGGTGGGTTTCCTTACGGAGGACCGTCTTCTTTCCCTCCTTCTTCTAATCCAAAGGGTGGTGGTGATATGTCAGCTTCTTCTCCATCTCGTTCTCCTTCCCCCTCTTCTCCCTCCTCTCCCTCTTCCTCTTCTGGTTGCTCGACCTCTTCACAGCGGCTGCGCGGTGGTTGTACAGGTGCCTCACCTTATGCAGGTGAGCCACGCAGCTCGACCTTTGGTATTCTACCCATTTGGCTTCTTTTTTGTATAATTTTGAAGTCCCTCACGTTATTTTCATTTGCGAACCAAGTTGTGTTTGCACGACATTTGGCTTTTGGGCGTGTGAGCTCAATTTCTATTAGAGTTGTACTACATTTTTTCTTGCTTTTGAAACTTCAAGCTGAATAGATAGAATTTTTCTTTATGTTGCAAGTTGCTGTTAAATTTGTCTCCTATTTACAGCGTTGATTCCTGCACTCTATTTTTTCTTTTATTTGCCACCCGAAGTCTAGTTTCTTGCTTGCATCGTTGGCTACTTTTCTCCCCTGCAGTTTGCTCTGACTATTCTCTAATATTTTTGTCATCACTTCTCTCTCGTAGACGTATCACTTATATCTAACTATCCTTATTTTTTTCCACGAAATGCGTTCTTCATTGGTCATTAGTAGCTTTTTTCAGATATTTTTTTACAACTTTTTATTTTGCAGATGTAGTCCTATCCATTGCTTCTCTTCAAACTATTTGTTATTATTTATGCATGTCAAGACATTCGTCAAATCTTTTGCATGCTCTGTTTAATCTGCATGCTATGTTTAATTCGTCAAATTTCTGTTTTTTTCCTATTGGAGATCCATGGTTAAAGTTTTATTTAGTCAACCGGAATTTTTGAGTGCTGCCTTCCTCAAGTATCTGAATTTCAAATCAGTACTTCATTTGAAATTTGAATGACAGCTTCAAGAAAAAGAGTCTCTGATATTTTCATTTTTCTTATTAATTGCTTCAAATATCTCTAAAGTTACTATAACTCTCTGATTTAGACGACTCATAATGTCATAGTCTGATAAAAATCTATAACGTCACCAATATTACTCCGTAAATTATCTTGATTAAATTTCATAACCTTAGGCATTTGCTGTGCAGCGCATGTATCCGATTACCTTTATCTTGCTGCTTTTAAGACATTTTGCTGCTCTCCGTTCCACTGTGCGTTCTAATTGTTTTTATTTTCTTTTTTGTTGTATGTTACTTGACGCATTTAAGATATTTTATCGAATTATTTACACCGTCGCGAGATCTATCGTGTAACCTTATAAATTAATGCTATAATTTATCAGTGAGAATCTATTTTTCTTTAACACAACGATCATCAGAACAACATTTATTATGTCTTGGGACAAAACGTTCAGCTTTTACCGCAAAATGCCTGTTGGCTGTTGAATATTTCACGTGTTTACTGTTTCGAAATCTGAAGACTTTAATTTTGTAGTTTAATTCCAATTATCACTTGTTCGTGATTGCTGACACTTCGTTGTAATGCAGGTACTGCGATCAGCACTAGCACTATTGACACCCATTTAAGTGGAGGCCAAGGCGGAGGGGGTGATGTACCTTCACAAAGGGCTGGGGTCCACAGTCCACTCTCTTCAGCCCCTTCAACCCCTCCTCACTCTGGTCGACTGCCAACGGACGCCCTGAACGGAGGACGCTCGAGTGATTCCTTATCTTCTGTGCTGTCTGATGTGGCCGCCACTGGGGTAGCCAGCGAGTCTCTAGTGGGCGGGAGACCCGTGCCTCCGCCTAGACCGGTGAGTCAAATTTTATTCCTGTTTTTTTTTTTTTTGCAACTTCCGAACTCTCATTCACGCTTGTCAGGGGAGGGGGCGGCTTAGATAGCAGACGTGGAAGAGTTGTCGGAAAAAATGGAAAATAGGCTAAAAATAATTGAAGAAAGGATTATCTTGATAGGTCTCTGTAGGGAAGAGAAAACGAGGTAAGAGAATGAAAAGTGATCGGCAAGGACAGAAGTTCATAGATCCTTGAAGAGAATTTGAAGCCCGCGCTCCGTCGCACATGGTGCAGGAGAGTGAGCCACATTCGCAACGCTTGCCAGAAATCCAGACAGCGGCACAAGTCGGGGTTCTTCTACGGCGCAGATTTCGCCTTTTAAAACATTTAATGCAAAGAACGGAACTTTACAAATGAATTTGATGTAATAGAAACCTTTAATTTTATGTCGGAGGTAACACCTTCCTCATACAGGTTGCTGGCGGCACCCGCCGTCGCCGGTGCCGTGCGCTATACGACTGCGCCGCTGACCTGACGGACGAGCTGAGCTTCCAGGAAGGCGAGATCATAATTATCGTGGAGGAAGAAACTGAGGACGGTGACTGGATGGAGGGCTTCATCGAGGGACAGCCGCATCGACGAGGGAAACTCCCTGTTAATTTCGTGCACATGCTCTCTGATTGAGCTCATGGACATCGAGCCTCGGATGAATTAATTCTAGCTTCTGCGCGTAAGCTTTGAAGAGGATTCATTCCCCCTTTGAATTGCCATGCGTCGAGTTCTAGTTTGTTAGTTTTTCACAGTTCATGTATGACATTTTCGTTTCGGTTCAAATTTATTCAAGCTTTAAATAACCCACCTTCATAAAACAAATTGATCTCATCATTTTATTTTTTTCCTAAATTTGGCTTCCCGTCCTCAAAATTGATGTAGGCTTAAGCCAAAAGCACTCAGATTTTTCATCTCTTCCCTTTGCAGTTCACACATTACTTTAGATTTTCTTTCTGCTTCAAAATAAAATGCCTGAGTGTTTGGCTTTAGTTCATTTTCTCTGGCAATAAAATGTGAATTGACCGTTTATTCAAGATGTGTCCTTTTGACCTTATGGAGAGAGACTTTGTCTGTTTGTAAATTATTGCTTGAAGCTCTCTGTGCGTTCAATGTCGTCACTGTATGATGAATTTAATTGAATAGAAAAACACCTGCTTGAATTGGCTATCTATTACATTCGCATTAGCTATCTATTACTCGAGTGGTGGTATTATTTTTGTCATTGCTTTATAGTCAGTATCGACATTTGGAAAATTTTGATCCAAGGGAATCCTTTACGCTGGCCTCCACGCTAATTTACCACATGCTAGATGATAAATATTAAGAGTTTCTGGTCTGCTTGCCAATATATGAGGAGACAATTCGCAGCACGTCGTGTGTCAGCCCAACGACATTCGTGGCGCTCGTTGGGTATTGTTCTTTATTCGGCTTTTTCTTGCGTAATCTGTACAAATTCTTCTAGTTTACCAACTTAGTCTTGGTTGATATTTCTGCTTCCGGTATACAAGCATCGCCAAAAAAATATTTATTTTCGTTGAGTTATATTCATTAACTGTAATATTTTTGTTGAGTGAATTTTTTCTAATCTGCATGAAAAATATACCCAATGAATTCTGCGTCTCAAAACATTCCTGTCTTATATATCATAGTTTAGTTTACTATCCTCGTTAGCCTGAGTTGACTACCAAGTCAGCCAAGCCGCGAGCACAAAGTAGTGTTGCAAGGTGTCTTAGTGAAGGCATCTGTGCCATTTATTGTGCGTCAGTGTTGTGCGTTTTGGTGTTTGTGAACTTACCCTATTTTGTATTTATCTTACTTCCTCGTAATTTATGAAACTTCCGCCTAGCTTCCAGGTTATATCCTTCCGCCCCTTTTTCCGAAACAAACGAGTTTTTACCTTAACCAAAGCTGTGCCAAGAGCTCATACCAAGCTCATCAGTCTAGAGTTTACAACTCATTTTTTACGTATTTTTCGTGAATTCAAATTTATTATTCATATCGCATTGAAGTATCAGTGAAATTTTAAGTTAAATCTGTAAGTAATTTATATTTTGATCTAGAATATGCCTTACATATAAAAGCGAACATGTTTTTTATAAATCATTTAGTAATTTATTTGCATATTTCATCTGATGTATTTCTGTGATCGCCCACATGCTGATTACTGTATTCATTCTAAACTCACTCTAATGTCCATGTATCTAACACGTCTTATTTATTTATTTTTTTTTCAATTGAGGGACACGAGTTCAAACGTGGTCTTCGCCCTCAATGTTGATGAACCCTATCACTATCCTCTCCTTGAATTCGTTATCTTTATTTCGACATCTTCGCTCGTTCTCAAACTATAAAATACGCTAACGTTTGTATACATGATTGTGTTTTATGTCGCTCTGCATGGAAGAGCATTCCCGTTCCCACACTGACTCGTTAAAAATTGACGAATTTTTCAACGAATGTGGAGTTATCGTGTGGGAATGAGGTCAGATTTACTCGCATATTTGTGTACAGAAAGAAGTGCAGTTAGAGTTATTATTTCATGCTTATAACAAAATCAATAATTGAAGATTACGTCGTGTAAAGAAGTTAGCTCTGTGTTGTAACTATGGTGTACATAAATGTTTTCTGTATATCAAGACAATATATTTAGCATAGACAGAAGACTTTCAGAATATATATAAAAATAATATGAGAAACATTGAAGTTGCACCGTTCATATTTTCGTCAAGGGCATTTCTTTCTGAATCATTTCAAATGTTATGTATTTAAACTGTCATTACTGTATAGTTGATTTAAAGCTCAAGTCTCTTGATTAAGACCAATTTTGTTTTGTGTTGGCATATGCACTTAAGTCATAAGCTATGCTAGATTACTTATGGGCAGGGTCTCAGTTGAGTCTTTTTTACACTACTGAAAAATGTATTAGTCTAACATTTCTTCGCATTCCCTTTACTGTCGTAAACCTCATAGATTATCCAGCATTCTTTAAATGCGCGTTATGCAAGTCCTTATTGATAGTATACAATTTTCCGGGAAATAATGTTATAAATTCTGGCAGTTTTTAAATTATAAATTCTACCGAACTGACCCGAAGTATTGTAAAAGAGTATGGAAAATGTTTGCAACTGATGTTGTTGTTTAGTCTAATTAAGGATGCAACATAGAGTTGCTCAGGCTGTCGAAAAAATCTACGTTCAATTAGCCAATTCCAAGGACGAGTATGAGATGAATTCTGAATCGCTATTTTAAACTATAGATTATCGACTTTTTTTCCAAAAGTTACTTACACTTTGGTACTGTTCGAAGTCAACGCGCATATTTAAGAGCTTTCCTGTCTTCCAGTGCAACCAATGTGTCATAGCGTTCACAAATTAGTTAGAGCTTGGAAATTCTATCCCAAATTTTAATCTCTTATCTTTTTCATAGTCGGTAATAATGTTGCTATGACTTTCAAAAATGTCTTAACTGCAAAATTTACCAGAGCTAATTTAGGAGTTAACGCGCTTCTTAAACCAACAATGATCAGCGTGATTCTAGAAATATTTTGCAATGTGCTGCAAATTCTCATTCTTGAATATTTTTCTCGTGTTGCCTTGTAACTTCAACATTTGCTATCCAACGATGACTGTTCGCTTCCAGGGTTGGTTACCTCCTTTCAGTGCTGAAATCAAAAGTTATACGAGACTATCTATTTCCACTTCTCTGCTAAGTCATTCCATTCCAATTTTTGAAGCCTCTTTGTGTCACCCATCACGATGAGAATGAAAAATACGTTCCAAAATAATTTAATTTATCCTCCATCCGCTTATCTAAGTGAAAACATTGGCCAATTTAAGAAGATACATCGAGCACCAACTGGATGCATTGCACACTTTCTTCCAACATTCCAAATATCTCTGCTTAAGTTCCATCCCATTATATACAAATTCATCAGCTGGACCACGGTAATAAATAAAAATAAAGGTTAGCGATAATTACTCGAAGAAATCAAATCAGCCTCTTTGGTATACATACATATTCTTGCCTAAATCATTTCACAAAAATTATTGATAACAACATAACACTATCTAGACCTCATCACTCTGTTCAAGAACGATTGTTCACTTAAGGATGAAGAGAGTATTCCAGATTACATTTGCATAATAGAATGTCTTCCTTGGATAACATCATCTTACGAACAACAAATGAAGACGGTCCGTGAGTGCATGGGGCTTTGTTACAAAAATGGCCATGGGTCTATTACACCTGAATTACCCCAACCCAATATTCTCATCATAAATTATTAATGGAATGGAATTGAGCTTATCAATATTCACCAACTTGACGAAAATAGCAAGAAATCATGGCGAGTTTGGCACAGAAATAAAGCATACAATTTACACGGACACGCTATGCTTTCGAGAACAATAGTAACACTAGTAAAATACAATAATTCAGTATCAAAATTTAACTTTTCAAAGGATTTGAGGCCCCACAAGGAAATTAATTGCAATAAGAATAAAATGGCTTCTACATCTTTCTCTGTTTACTGATCGTTAAAAGTGAGCAAAATATTATTCAAGGTGCTTACGACCAGAGTGATGAAAAAGATTCACATAAACGAATTTTTCAGTAAATATTTCAATGAAATTATAAACCTCAAATTCAACTAGGAATAAATATTCTGGCAAGTTTCGTGTTAAAAACTGAAATAAATACAGAGTTATTTCAACGCAAACTCCGAACAAAATGCATACCTAATATTTCAGGCTATGTACAAGAACTATTTAAATTATTCATAGTACAGTAAGCTTTGATATATTTAACATGATACACTGACTAAAGCTATTGGCACAGCCATAAAGTATTTGTGATCCTGAAAAATTGATTGGAATTTGGCAAGTAAATCGTTTATATTCTCGTCAATGGCGTGTGGAAAATTTCCAAATACGAGTTACAACCAACAGAAAACAAACTATAATCTTGACGAATCCCATATGGGACCATACACAGAAATATATGAAGCAGTTATCATCATGGTGCAGTTGTATTATACGAGCGTTTGAAACACACAGCTCTCGTAAATGAACTCCACTAGAATTGAACAAAATACTTTAATTTAGAAGCAGAAGTTGAAGGCCTTTCTTATAATGACTTTGCTCGCATTGCAGCACGCACACATTGGAAAGTTTATAGACACGACTACATTAGGAAAATTTATCCTTTGAGGACTGTCTTCGATTCGAAAATTTTAAAACCTTAGATTGAGTTCACAGATGAAGTCTTTTAAAAATTCCTTCGTAGTCACCGAAGTATTCAATCCCTGTAAGCTCTTCTCAATTATTCGTGTACCCCGCCTTTAGAAACGAATTGCTATTGGTCCTCATCGTGTCTGTTATTCTCAGTCCAAAGACCAATACAATTATAGTCAAGCGGAGTAAGCAACCGCCATTGTTTCGTTCGACTAAGAATAAGTACGATAGCAATTGATTATAAGCAACAGTTGTTGATGAGACCACTCATCGGAGTAGGGACCACTCATTTTAAGAGGTAACCACTCGTTTAGGAGGAGGCCACCCATTTTAGGATGGAACCTTTTATTTTAGGAGGAGACCACTCATATTAGGAGGTAACAACTCATTTTAGGATGGAACTTTTTATTTTAGGAGGAGGCCACTCATTTTAGGAGAGAACCTCTCATTTTAGGAGGAGGCCACTCATTTTAGGAGGGAACCTCTCATTTTAGGATGGAACCTTTTATTTTAGGAGGGAACCTCTCATTTTAGGATGGAACCTTTTATTTTAGGAGGAGGCCACTCATTTTAGGAGGGAACCTCTCATTTTAGGATGGAACCTTTTATTTTAGGAGGAGGCCAATCATTTTAGGAGACCACTCATCTGAGGGGGAGCGCATGGGCGTGCAGTGCAGCTATAAGCCTGCTGCGGTGGACCAGAGATGCTCCTGACCGGTACATGTCCTGCACCAGGCTGTGGAACTCCCGGCACAGCTGGATGTACTCCCTGCAAATACGGACCGTCATCATATATGTATGCTCAGCTTATCGTTCAATAGATCATTTGGTCGTAGAATATGTCATTAGGTGGCTTGAATCGCAAATTCACCGATAATTCAAAAGCAATGAAAACGCCAAACAATATATAGTGAATTTATTAAGGCTTTTCTCTCCTTTTAAATTATTGTCAACTACCCAGATCATAAATATACATCAATATTTAGCGTAGAACATTCGAGTGCGAACGCGACAAATTTAAATCAGATTTACAAACCATTGACCAACAGAATAGTTATTATTGCGTGAAGATCTCAAGTCAAGAATCCAGAGATAGTTTTTTCAGGTTTTCATGGAAATGACGAGATAAGAAACAAATTTTAGCAGGTTTCTATGAAATTGAAATACATAAGATAACGTAATTTGTATGTGTAATACTAATTTGAAAATATATTATCTGGAAGTTATCATTGAAAACAACCAACTCCCCAACTCCATCATCAGTTATAAATTCAATAATGCAAGTAGTATATTAAATTCGTATGATTAATATCACGAAGCAGATTTCAAATGCAAATATAATGATTAAAAGTAGAGTAACGGGGCAGCCAGCTACAAGTGGCTAGAAAATATAGGATTTGTGTTCACATTTTTCTTTCGAATTGTCAAATTGGATTTTCTAAATTGTGAATTGATTCGGATGAATTTATTTTCCTTCTGTTCCCGAATTATGAGTTTCTCTCCAAAACGTTTTGAAAGAAATTACGGTGAATTATCCTTGCATTTCTTTTTAACTCTAGGTAAATATGAGCTTGGAGTAATCATGCGATATTAATATAAAAGAAATTATGTAAATACGTGTTGATTGCTTGAGAGCATGACTGTGCCAGAAAATGGGAGTTTCATAAAGGACAGGCGCCTAACCCAGCAATTTGTCGCAGCTCGGGTGCCTCGACGATGCCGTTGTGGGAGTAGCCGAAGTCTCCTGAGAACTCAATGTACGTGACGCCTGACGCACCTCCCGCGGCGTCACTGTCACCGCCGCGACCGCTGGCAGCAACACGGAGCTGTGACATCAAACACAAAGTTACTCTAAAATGCCCCCGCTGAGGTTGCAGGTTACCCAGCTTTTATCAGTAAGAAAATACATAAAGCTTTATCATGATGGATTGGGAATTATATTTTTTTTTTATTCCAGACCGATCTGTTCAAATACGAGTACTCAAGAGCATGTGCATTGACCAATGGTGCACATTTCTTCGTCCGCGGGTCACCCCAAAAGCATCCAGTCTCTAACCCCTCTATCAATACTAGGTCTCTTTCCGCGGAATAAAATATTTTAGGACAGAGGCTAGAATACGGTCATCCTCTATTAATGTTTCTAGAAAAGTTGCACATGTAGCTATTAAAGATACGGCAACGGTTTGGTTTTTTCAATACAAATATGTATCATCCATATTGGTAATCGAAAAATTTCGGAGAAGAGGTACCACTGTTTGTGTGCTCCGTTGGGCCCATTTGCTAATAGAATGTTTTCAAACGCCAATACTCAACTGGTAGCAAAGAGAATATCAGAGAAAATTAGTCCAGTTATGAAGTCTGAACAACACTTTAGCTTTTGTGGAATAGTAAGAACGGCGAGAGGGTGACGGGCGTCTGAGAGTAAGTCACCCTATGTTCCTTTAAAATTAGCACGATTTAGTCTTGTTTTCAGGCCGTAGGTGTTGAGCAATCTCTTTCAGAATTCCACTCGTCTTGCCACTGTTAGCGAGTGAACAATTTCAGGGAACATCATCTTGATGGTTAGTTAATACTACAGTATTTAATAGTTTCAAAGCAATAATATGGCAAGCAAATTCTCCATAATTTTACTGTAAATTTTAATAATTATATTATATTTATATTATATTATAATTTTATATATAGATAAAATTATATTTTTATAATTTTATAAGTTCTCAATTGATTTGCGATTTAAACAAAATAATGATATAAAAACATTGGATTAGGTTACAACTTTTCTAAGAAGTACGTGACATTCAAAAGTCATTTAAAAAAATTAAATATATATACGGTACTGAATTTACCCGGTACTTTTTTTGCATTTGAATCTTTGGTAATATATGACCTAAGAAAAATATTATGAATACTTGTGTCATGTCTCCAACAAAATTAGGAGTGAAAGTGTCAGATTTTTTTATGAGCTGCCTCACCGCCCTGCCGTGCGTGACAGGCAAGATGTCATCGTCCTGAGCGTGCAGGACCAGAAGCGGACCGCTCACGCGCACCACGTTCGCTGTCGTGTTGAACATCAAGTCCCGCTGCTCCAGAGTGCTGCGCACCAGCGGCGTGAACCACGGCACCCAATTCATTACCTAAACAAAGTTCAAGTCATAAATAACGACAGTAATTACAAAAAATTCAGATACCATCATGGACGAAACAACATGAAATTGAAAACATACATAAGAGGAAATACCTGACAATAATAAAAATTGATTAGTGTACCCATAGTAAATCATCAAAATAGAAATCAGAAAGAACAAACTCACGACAGCAAGTGAATTGTCTTGAATAGCACTGAGCAAATCTGTGAAGCCAGCATGCAGCACAAGACCATCAGCACAGTGCTGCATGTCGCTGCTACTGCCTCTGCCACACAGCGCTGCTGCAACTGACGCTGCTATGCTGTAACCAATCACATATTAGTCGGAATAAAGGATTGGTTTGCAGTTCATCTTAGGTCATAATTTTCTTTCACGATTTTGCATACAGGAGTTTAAGAGGTCGGATATAACCTATATATGCCATCTTCAATCACTCTGCATTTGACAGTCTTGACTTCAAACATCTCTTACCATAAAAATGACCTCGCTATTTTTGTCTCTTTCATGAGGAACAATGCCTTGGAAGCAGGCAGAAAGATCCTCCAGATGTTTCAAAACTGACTCAAAGTCTCTAATTTTGTTTAGCAGGTAAATGCAAATAATATCATACACCTGATTTTAGTACATAAATTATGGCAAATATTCACTGGTAATCAAAAGCAAATTAACTTACCCTGAACCAAGAGAATGTCCCCACAATATAATGGCCGTGCCAGGACCCACTCTCTCCAGTATGTAGTCATACACAAACATCCCATCCTTCACTAAGGCTGTCTCAGATAGTGGGGCAATAGAAGAGTCAGCAAAGCTCCTGGGAAAAGTGGAGAGAGCCTCAATGTACAAGCAAGTGAATAATGCAGAATCAAGTGACAGAACCAAAAATTATCAAAGATTGATCTAGTTAAATTCAATATTGATGTGGTAGCACTAGTAATCTGTTTGGCTATTTCTAATCTTTATCCATTGATAAAAAACTATACTTTGACCTAAAAAATCAAGAGCCATCAGAAAGTCAAATTTGCTTGCTATTACCTGTAATCAAATGCAATAACATGGCACCCCAGGTCAGCAAGTATCCTGTAGAGATCAACTCTGTGTGCCTGTGCTCTGGAGGGCGTGTTGCCATGAAAATAAATAACAGCAACTGAGCCATCTTTGCGGAGTTCATCTTCAAAACGAGCACTTCTGGATCCTATGGACTCAGGTGATGTTGGGTTGGGTGCTGCAGATGGTAGGATGTGCCTAGTGAATTATACAACATACATGAGCATCAATCGATGATCAATGCCATGAGAGCTCAAATGACTCAAAATACAAGTGAATTCTGCTTCAAGCAGATAATAAATTTCTTCAAGATATAAATTTTTTACACAATTTCAGAAAGATACATATAATACTGCAGACTAATTTGAGAATTGAAAACCTTTTTGGTTTCTTTTCTAAACCAAATGCAAATGGTGTGCTCTAATAGGTGTGGCACTGAAATACAATTACCTACCAAGTGCCTAGTTTGATGCCTTCATCAGTAGTTATGTAGAAAGCACGGGCATTTTTCAAATTCAACAGCTCAGGAGCAGCCAGCTCAGTTGAAAAGTCAGGTGATCCTGGCAAACAAAATATTCAGTAAAATTCAACCATCATAGTTTTATGCAGCCATAATCATGATTATTCATACTATAAAACTAGTGCAAACTTAAAGTTTTACATTAAATCCTGATCACGTCATTCATATTTCAGAATGGTCACAAGTTTTAAAAAGTATTGTATGGGTGTAAGTTTAAGCTCTACCCAAAATATTTATTTATTATATTAAAAATAGCATTTATATCAAATAGAACCTTACAATACTGAGAGGAAAGAATTTAGGAATTAACTAGGACTATTCTCTTCAACTACTGGTATGACATCTTCTAGTATTTTGCTGCTTAAGTTTGTACCTCGGAAAATCAAGTAATCTTGAAGCGATGGAGAAAAATAGAAAAGCACTGGGCCTAAGAAGACCAGTAAGGCAAAGACCCCAATTAGCACTGCTAGCAGCACCAGACCAGTTATCCGTAGTTGCTGCCAAAGTGTGGGCTGCCTGAAAATGAGACTAATATAAAATCTCTATTTTCTCTATGGAAAACAAATGAAAAAGCAGAAGATATTCTCATGCTAAACTGATTAAAAAAATCCAGGATAACTCAGAGCAGCAAAATATTTTCAATAAAACTAACTATAAAAGTATTTAACCACAAGCATCCAATTTCCAATTGTGCTCTGATCAATGGAATTATCATGACTTAGTTTTAAAAGTAGAAATGTTATTTTCTTCTTTCCTTAATATTTGCCGCAATGATAATTTGAAGTCAATGTTTTTAGGCAGCGTGAGATGAATGTGAATGCTATACTTGCTAGGTATGGAGTATTATTGTTGCCATTTTATATAACCTGCAAAATATCTTGACTTTAAAAATCACACTTATTTTTAGAACAAACAATTCAGCAACAATTAGGATAGGTAATTTAATTTCTTGAAATTTGTTTATCAAGATATCGATTTGTTTGGGTAATGTTTATTTATGAAATACAAACATATATGGTATATATTTTTAACTAATGAAGTAGGTATCTACTGACCACATTATTTCTAGTTTTTATCCAAGCTATTCTCCCATAAATTGGGATCCAGCCAATTTCATAAATTATGCAATAACTGCCAAAAAAGATACTTTTTGCCTGCAATTTATAAATACTGTGTCACCCAAGAAATTATTGTTTCTACTTGCTGGTTTTAGAAGAGCCTGCCTAATATTTAAAATTGGCCTTTAGTAGCCAGTATTTTTATGATATCATTGATTGGGGCCACAAGTTAGAGGCAAGCATGGAAAACATCTGCCTTTATTGCCGCAACTGGAGCTTTCCCACCATTTCTGGAACCAAGAGATTTCTGCCAGATGAATTACCTCCTATCTAATTATTACCAAAAGTGCATGATCAGGCAGGAAGTTTCCAACTGTATTAAAATTTTGTAACATTGGAGCCGTGAGATTTCAGAAACGAGTAGGAAAATTCTAATCTTGGTTAGAGGGGAGGATGCCTGACACCATGAGGCAGTTATCAACTCACAATCTAATTTTAATAAATGTTTGGGGATATTAGAAATGCTGTTAAATATTTTTGTCCTCCAGCACTTTTTTATTAGAACAATAATAGGGTAAACGCACCATATTCCGTCACTGTGGGTAATTCTGACACCCCTCAACTTTTTTCTTTATATTAAGCTTGGGCTTAGTTCCACGCATGCGTAGATGGTTGAAATAGTGACATCATACTATTGCACGCAAGATTTCCACAAAACACTAGGTCTAGCGGAAAATGTTAAGATCCGCAGAGAAAAAGTCCAAGTCAGCTAGTGAGAACATCAAAACATGTATGAAAGTTGATAGTTGACCTTGCTTTACTAAATAGTGATAAACTGTTTGTGTAGAAAGAACATAATGGTTTGAGACTTTTGAATAAGTCTGTGAATATATTAGAAATCCTTTAAGTATACTTGTATTTGATGATTTTAAGTGGTAAATAAATTAATAGATGATTGATTTAAGAGACTATTTTAGACACACAAAAACTAATTCTGACACAGGGTGTCAGAATTACAACACACAGGATGTCGTATTCCTACACAGGGAATTCCAGTTGGAATTCCAACACAGGGACCAGGGTGCTGGAATTACAAATTCGAAGCGCTGTCGGAATTAGTCTCACAATATGCCGCATTTAGTCACACACAGTGTTGGAATTTAGCGATTTTATAGATTTGAATTCTAAAGGCTTTTAAATAAATATGGCAACAGTTTGTGATGTTTCATCATTGCTGGCAGCCTGGCGCATAGTGTGGTGTTTTGCAAGTGACGTAAACCAATCAGAACTCAAGTTGCGCATACGGCGATCTATATATAGCCATTTATTTCTTGCTACGTCCTTAAGGTGTTGGAATATGGTGTGTTTACCGGTACTTTACCCTAGTGCCACTTTTCCAGATTATCCACTCATAACAGTCAACAAATAAAAATGTGGTATTGATGAAACATGCAAGTAAATCCTGTTCAGTGTTCACCATCCTTGAAATTGATTTGATCAAACTAAAATCTATACCGTACTCAAAATTGGGATTTGGGAATGTAAGTGTTTAGTGAACTTTTGATGCCATTGAATTTCATAGTAATAAAAGTACCTATAGAGAATAGGGCTATAGGCTGTATAGGCTAGCACTTGACTTTACTTAGTTTAGTTACAAAAATACTACTACCTACTATACTGGGCGGTACTATATTAATAGCAGTAGCACTTGACTAGTTGACTTGAATTAGCTAGCCTATCATAAATGTATCATTTACCTACCATTTACCTATCATATAATGAATGCATCACTGAACCCACTTACCCTCCTGCATAATTCTTTCATCATTCATACATTCATTATCATTAGTAGGGAGGCGACAACATGTCAGTATTAATGGGTCTGTATCAGACTGGGCTTCAGTGCGCAGTGGCGTGCCACAAGGAAGCATTCTCAGGCCTATTCTATTCGTTGCGTTTATAAATGATCTGCCAGAAGCTGTGTCTAGCGTTTGCTTGATGTATGCTGATGACACAAAAATTTATAATACAGTGAAGAATACGTCGCAAAAAGTACAGTTGCAAGGTGCTCTTGACAGGTTGGTTGACTGGGCTGATAAGTGGCAGCTGCGTTTTAATGCTGACAAATGTAAAGTTATCCACCTTGGCAAGAATAATGAACAGCAAGATTACAGTGTGAGAAGACACGGTTGCAACGACAGAGTGATGATGTCAAAGTCGACAACGGAAAAGGATTTAGGAGTTAATGTCGGCAATGAGTTGAAATTTTTTAAGTATATTGAAGGTCAAGTTAATAAAGCCAATAAACGACTTGGACTGATCAGACGCTCTTTCGAGTTCCTAGATGCAGAAACGATGAAGCAGTTGTTTGTTGCTGTCGTGCGCCCGAACCTAGAGTTTGGAAACGTCGCATGGTCACCGAAATTTGAAAAGGATAGAAATTTAGTAGAGAGTGTTCAAAGACGCGTAACAAGAATAGTTCCGGGCTTGAAAGGCAAGTCCTATGAGGAAAGATTAAAGATTATGATGCTTCTAAGCCTCAGTTATTGATGTCTGCGTGGCCGTGGAGACCTCATTGAAGTATACAAGTATACTCATGACTTATACAAGGTCCCAGAAGGATTACTAGAATTTGAAACAAGAACCAACACCAGGGGCCACGGCTATAAACTAAAAAACAGCGTTGGAACACATCCATGCGACAACATTTCTTCTTATGTTTTCGGTGAATTTTCCCGCGCATTTTCACTTTTTTTAAGCTATTGCTGTGCACAGTTCGCGCAATGTAATGAAAATTGATTATCTTCGCGCACGTGTTCGCGCAATCCCGGCCATCTTTATTTTAGAAGAAATTTTCTCCAAAGTCATATGGCAACACTGAACACCATCTGTTTACATTTTATATGTATAACAGCCGCAGTTTACGATTACCGTACGTTCCGTATCCGACAATGCGGACAACCGGAAGAGTCAGAAGTAACCCGGACATGTCTTACACTTTATTATTGTCAGTTCGACTCGCGTAGTCAATATACTCGCGTATATTGTCGACTAAAATAGTAGAACTATTTTAGCTTTCTAAAGTACGGCGCACGGCGCATTTTTTTAGCAACGTAGTACGGCGCACCGCGCAGGTCGTTAAAATGACAAAATAAATTCCCGCGCACCTGGCACATCTTCCTGACCATGGCTGAGCCTCTGAGGCAGTGAGGCTTAACCGATGTCATTGTAATTTTTACGTCATTGATATCATTGTGGAACCAATGTAAGTAACTAAGGAATTTCCCAGTTCAAATATTTATTGATTTATTACTATCAATTTCGAAACTCCACATATATCTAAAGGGAGTTGTGATGAGACCATGGGGATGGGGCCAGGGGTCGAACTGTTGAGTTTAGACCATTACAACTTGCAAGAGGGGCCCAAGGGCCAAGGGCATGGGGCCTTGCGAAGGGTTAAGACCGACGCACGGCGGTGGACCAATAAGTACTCACAATAATTCCCTGCCACCATGATACTGCGTTTACCCTATGTTCAGTCTGAAGATGCCTAGCAAATTATGGACCAGGCAATAAGTCCAGCAGCTATCTCAATCAATTGTCAGCTATTGAAAGATCGGGTTCCAAAGGCCGGATCCCGGATCCCTTGTGAATCAAGTCACGAAACGTTCAAGAATCGGCAACAGGCCATGGGCCTATTTCTTCAACGCTGACACTTCTATTAAATCTATTCTATTCTATATATCATTTATTTACAATTTATTTATCATTCATTTATCATTAATTTTATTTGCTTTCTATTTATCATTTAAGTTATAACTTATGTATAATTTATTTATCAAACTGTTATTTATTGTGTTCAATTCTGGCATTTGGCTGGTGCCTGGTGGGCAGGTGGCACTGTGCAGATTTAAAGCTAGCTAAAAGTAGCTAGGTATCATTCATAGCTTATGTCTTATGATAGGCTGATAGCTACAATACTAAATACTACTCTACAATCATACAATGAATATTGGAAAATAGTATGAAATGACAAAAAATACATTCTTTTCATGAAATTTTCCATTATTAACATTAATCAATGGCTTGATTACTTACCCGTACCTATGGCATAGAAGAACTTTTACCTTCCTGCCAAAAATCATTTTCAGAACTCTTCCAGAAAAGGATGATATTGTGTTCAAAATTAAAACTTTATTTGTGTTTAGCAGGTATTGTGACATTCTCAAAAATGTTCAGTTTCAAGCTAACATTTTATATTGTAGATTTTGTAAACTTAACCATACATTTTATCGTATTTTAACATTTCCATGACAAGACGACCCAGGACCACCCACAACCGTCAACGGAGCTCTAGTAGAATTTCCGGACCACATAAAAAAATCCTAACAACACTGGAAGTACATGCTAATTCTTCGGATCCGTTTTTTAAAGACTTGTTTGTTCACCACTCGCCTCACGTCTGGGTGGCCACTGGTGGGATCCAAATGCCATTAAAAATATTTTCACTTGAAAATTCCCCGTTTTCTACATTTAAATTCAATTATTTGATTCCTCTAACTTCGTTCAGCGGGATATTCTAAGTCTAAGAGTTATGAAATGTTATGCTTCGTTTCAAGAACCGAATCGACACTTCAGCGGACTCGGCTGCGGACTGGCCTGCGGACTCGAATCAAAACCTAACTTGACGTTCAACTCATCCAGCCATAAATCCATCAATAATGAACGGATTCTATTCAAATTCGAAATATAAGTAGATAATATCAGTAATTTGTGGACGGAATTTTTTCACATTTTTACATCAATAACTTTTTCATTAATACGGGAAACCTAACTTCATTTTCAATTCACCCAGCCATAAATCCAAAAATAATGAACAGATTTTATTCAAATTTGAAATATAAGTAGATAACATCTGTAATTTGTGGACGGAATTTTTTCAAATTTTTACATCAAAAACTTTTTTATTAATACGGAAAACCTAACTTCATTTCAACTCACCCAGCCATAAATCCATCAATAATAAACGGATTTTATTCAAATTTAAAATATAAGTAGATAATATTTGTAATTTGTGGACGGAATTTTTTCAAATTTTTACATCAGTAACTTTTTTATCAATACGGAAAACCTAACTTCATTTTCAACTCACCCAGCCATAAATCCATCAATATTGAACGGATTTTATTCAAATTTGAAAAATAAGTAGATAATATCAGTAATTTGTGGACGGAATTATTTCAGATTTTTACATCAATGACTTTTTTATTAATACGGAAAACCTAACTTCACGTTCACCTCGCAGGTTAGGTCCTAGTCAGGTCAAGTTTCAGTATTTTGTGGCATAAAAAAAAGTAATTGATGTAAAAATTTGAAAAAATTCCGTCCACCAATTACAGATGTTATCTACTTATATTCCAAATTTGAATAAAATCCGTTCATTATTTATGGATTTATGCCTGGGTGAGTTGAAAATGAAGTTAGGTTTTCTGTATTAATCAAAAAGTTATTGATGTAAAAATTTGAAAAAATTCCGTCCACAAATTACAGATGTTATCTACTTATATTTCAAATTTGAATAAAATCCGTTCATTATTTATGGATTTATCTGGGTGAGTTGAACGTCAAGTTAGGTTTTGATTCGAGTCCGCAGGCCAGTCCGCAGCCGAGTCCGCTGAAGTGTCCGACCGGTGTTTCAAGATCTCAATTCAACGATTTTCTAAACAGGTTCATCATTAATAATATTGACATTAATTAGTCATTCCAGTTAAATGTGATCATATGACATGTTCTTCAGAGTTTTTCACGTTCTTCGACCAGATTATTCACTATTGGACTATTATTCACTTATGTGTCGTAGAATTCTCTGTGTCTAATTAACAAATGCATGTTGTATGGCCCCGCAATTTTTGCAGTTCCTCCAAGTACTCAATCTGAATCTAAGTCCTCAGCGTTCAGTGTCATTAATTTTAATTAGCTAGCTACAATTAAGCAGAATCATATTGCTGTAGTCAAGAGCAACCTATCATTGGACGTGTATTCTGAGAGTGGATATGACAAAAAATCTACGTAAATTGCTCCTATAATTTAAGTACCTCAAACCGGCCATCTTACTTTGCAATCAATTTTTTATGTTATTTATAAATAGTTATTATGAGTTAGACTTTTTTAAGGTAGATTTAGTTGGCATAAATTCATTAATCTATACTTTGCTTGAAAGACTCATCACGAGGGGGGTCTATTTTAAATTCAAATAAAAATTCTCATTCAATTGTAAAAGTTCTAAAAAAATTTATTCTACAGAAAAAGACATTGATCCATGTTCATTTATCCGTATGACAATAAACTCGTGATTATTTGACTTGAGCGTCTGGCAGCGCTTAATGCAACGTGTGACCATCACCACCAACGCTGAGCCTATAACTGTAACAAGGTAATCGATAACGTGGTGGGAAGCAGCTGTCCTCCTTTCGTTATAACTATCGATCTTTCGTTAGTTTTGTACCTTATTAGAATTAACTTGACGATTTTTAAAAACTTCCGTAGAGTCTTTAATAAGAGAGGAAACCAAGTGTATATTTCATACAACTTTAAATGTGTGTGAACCACTGAACCTGTTAGTTACGTGCTTACTGTCATCATATACGTTCATGAGTAACACAATTAGTAGTCATGCACAGTAAATGTTATAGATTCATGCAATTAAATAGCCAAATGAGACAGTTGTCTTTGATAATTTTGCTTGTGTTGCTTGTCAATAAAGCTTCAGGGGAGCAGGTAGCTGCTGCCCAGTCACTAGACGACGAAATCGTGCCGTACGATTTCACTCATTTCCCTTACAAAGAAACTGTAACGAACGTAAGTTTATGCGTGCGTCGATCAGCTAATTTAAGCTTTATCTTGACTTGCAGTTATGAAATTAATACAAAGCTTCGTTATTTCTCCGAAAAAGAGATAATAAGTCTAATTAATAATGTTAAATTCAGCAACGAACTTCAAGTACGTATGAACAATGGAGGAAATCTTATCTATTATTAAGCTAAAATATTTGAACTTCAGTTATTCCAGCTGAAAAAAAATTCCTTAAGAATGGAACAAAGCAAATACATGTAAATATTCACTTTTTAATTATATTGAATTCGCCAATGTTGGAAGCCTTAGCTAGTCTGTTTTGTCTGTGTATTAAATTTTTTATCTCAAAGTAAAAACGATCAAATGATCTGCCAAACTGTCGTTGAATGCAGCAAAAATAATATGCAGTGAGCTGCATTTAAAATCGTTAGTGTAAGTTATCAAACTTCTTTCAGAATCCCGCTTCTAGCATGCATTCTCCAGTTGAATTTTCCAATACAAATTAATTAAGACCAATCGTTGTATGTGTTGTGTTGTTATTGTTGTTTAGGAGAAGCAGTGGGCTGAGTACGAGAGCGCGTGTGAGCAATCGACGGAGTGTCTTGCTAAGACGGGCGTGCTGCGCGTGCGCTGCGTGAGGGAATGTATCTCCCCTCACTGCTACAACGTCCTCTACAGGCATGACGAGGTGAGGGTAGTGCCTCTACAGGCATGACGAGGTGTGGGTAGTGCCTCTACAGGCATGACGAGGTGAGGGTAGTGCCTCTACAGGCATGACGAGGTGAGGGTAGTGCCTCTACAGGCATGACGAGGTGAGGGTAGTGCCTCTACAGGCATGACGAGGTGAGGGTAGTGCCTCTACAGGCACGACGAGGTGAGGGTAGTGCCTCTACAGGCATGACGAGGTGAGGGTAGTGCCTCTACAGGCATGACGAGGTGAGGGTAGAGCCTCTACAGGCATAACGATACAAAGGAAATGTTTGAACAAGCAATGAGTACTATGTAACATTTACTCCATAATTTCTTGCTTATAAATATGGCTTAAGAGACACACTTCTATTTAATATCAAAATGTTTCCCTTGTGCAGCTTGAGGAAGGGGAGGTGGACGTGCGGCTGAGTTCATTCAAAGGATGCTTCCTTAAGAAGCTCAAGACACGCAGAGTGTAGTTCCTCGAGTGGGTTATGTTATTTATTTATTTTTTATACTTAAATTATCCGTTCAAATGTCCCTTAGTTACATATTATGACAAAAATGTTCATTCTTTTCAGATGTCAAATAATGTTGGTAAATAAATATTGCGATTCGATTTGACCAGTAAAAAATCAAGCATGCACATATTATAGCACATAATATGTGCATTTATAGCATCTGCACATAAATATCGTGAGTTTTGGCTGTTTTCTTTCCATCTCGACGCTCAGGCCATTTGTGAACTTCAGCAAAGACAATGGAACGATGGTTTAATCATACCTAAAATTCAACTCCTCTTGCGGATTTGATCAAGGTATAATTAAGAGACAGAGAATTCGACTTTTAATTATATCATCTGTTTTCAAAACATTTCTAAAAAACTTGAATGGGCGACAGCAGTTTTGTGCACATCCTTATAGTATTACATTTGTTTATATAAGAAATCCTACCAATCTTAGACGCTCATCGGATGGTATAATTATAAAGTTAATAAGACACCTGTTTACATGGCATATCCTACCAATATTAGACGCGCAACAGAGAGTATGATAATCATGTAATATCTGTTTATATAATAAATCTTATCAATCATAGACCTGCAAAAGAAATTATGATCATCGTTTAAAATCTGCACTCTCTACTTTCAAACCTGTGAACATGAAGCGCTCCTTAATTCAAATAGTGATGGCATGTAAGGTGGAATGATTTCTTGTTGTGACACCTGACATGAAATGTTTTAATTCTGCTGCAGTAGGATAAAATTTAATTACAACCTGTAGGATTCTCACACACAATTTGGACGTATATTTGAAGGGGTAAATTTTTCTGCCAAATAAATTTGATGATTTTGGCTTACTCATAATTAATTGGTTTGCCTCATTACATAAGCAATGTATGCATACACCAATACAAGCAAGCTCTTATCAAAAATTTATCGTGCTCAAGCTCGTTGTTGAATCATAACATGACAATGAATCTTTGACAGTCAACAACTAGTACAAGAGACAATCAAGTTATCACGCACCTACTAAATTGCGTGGCTTCGTCCGTATAATTCTATAATTCCGTCCGATAATTTATTATAAGCTACAGCAGAGGCATTGAGATACTTCAACAACTGTATTATTTTTTTTGTTTCATCTTCAAAAAATTACGTTGAAAATAAAATATTATCGAGAAGCATGTCAGTAGGGTACGTGTCACTTTCACTCCTTCAAGCGGCTGATAATTGTAATATATCGAATAGTTACTAACTGTACTATATACTATATAATAGTAATATATAAATATAATATATAGTGTAGTTGTGTCGACGCTGATGAAATAGGCCCGTTACCTGTCGCCGATTCTTGTACTTTTCATGGCTTGATCACAGGAGATCTAAAAAATTGTTTTTTGACATGCTCTTTTTCTGAAACGGGGTGAGGTGACGAAATAGGTGACAAGCAGAGAAGTCACCATCTACCAGTTACGAGCCATTACAAAAGCTTTGAGTTACTGCGTAAAAATTCGAGCTTTGCATGTTCGAGCCTTTTCGTACATGTAAAAAAAAGCCTTTTGATACATTTTTCGTAAAAATTCTAGCCTTTTCATTTCATGTACTTGACACCGAAAATAATAAATTATTTTCACAACCTTTTTCCTTAAAATTTCGTGATTGAATCAATAAGCAAATCGCGCAGTAAAAAGATATGCATGCACACCTGACCACAATCTAATAAAGAATTGATTTCTAGAATATATCCAATGGCCAGTATAGACGTCACAAATATCAGGAACTGATGTCCAATTTGCAAGTCTATCAAATTTTCCTCTCTGACTGGCCTAAGACTTTTGTGAGTGACTGCGTGAGCGGCAATGGCTGAGCTCTATTGAGTTAGCAAGACCTATTTTTTTCGCATGGTGGATAAGTGATTTTGCTTATGTGTGTCGTCGCTTGCTTGGTGGTCGAACAACGTGACCAGGAAAGTTTCCGGATCCGAGCTGCCACAGGAGCAGCTTAAGATATCAGGACGATGTCGCGTCGCGTATATAAGGAACGCGACGCTGTTCCCGCCATCACAACGCTACGGGACTTTAAAGAGCTAACACGTTCTTCAAGTTACACGCACAAGACAACTTAACTATTACCTGCCAGTTTTGAACAGGTAAAGAACTAAGAAAAGTTCAAAATCTTTTATTCTATTCTCGCATCATTCGAAATTTCCTCGTTGGATTTATATTTTTAATTGCATGAAAAATAGTGAATAATAAAAATATAGGTAAGCTAAAAACTAAATAAATTAATTGAACTCCAAAGTTATCTCCCTCACTATTTCATTGATATTTTATTCAGAGCATTCGGGCCAGTGAAAGAGAATCCGCTTACTTCAATTCAGATACTCACATATGCATCTGTCAGCGTCTATGAATATTTCTGCCTATGTTAAAAATGGAAATTTAATTGAAACTGTTAAATAAAATGTCCTTGTTCATTCTAAAGACTGTGAAACACGGCGTTGTTTCACATCTATTGATGCATAATGTAATGTAACAGAAATTTGTTCCAAGCAGCTCATTATCGAAATTATAACAGCATTTTAATCACGTATTTGAACAAAACGCGCATAGCGGAACAATTATTGCATATTGAAGAAATGAATATTGCAGATTATTTAATTGTACTGAAACTTAAATCAAGCGCGAACTTGAAGCGCCTGGGCCCATGGTGCAATTTGTGAATCGAAACGTTCGTACGCCTTGAGAATCATCCATATTAAAAGCGGTGATGTCATTTATAATTTTTAACATCAAAAACATATTCTATCGCTGTACGGAAATGCCTGCCATCCTTATTGCAACTTTTTCTTCAATGCCGTTTAATTAACAGTTTAATTGTCTGAGTTTTATTATGGGTACCAAAACTCCGTTCGATAGCAAATGTTTCAAACTTAAATTTAGAAATCAAATTATTCATATTTAGAGATTTATTTTATGAGACTAAACAGTGCGCAAGAAGAAGCTATCGAACCAAGATGATTCAGATTCAGCACCTGAAACTAGGTACTGAAAAAATATTTAACAATATTACGACGAGCTTTGAATAAAAGTCGTTTTAACATTTTCTTGTCTCACCTGATAGACGAAGGTGCTTAATAATATGAATATGTTCGAAATTGCCTTGCATTTCCTGGTAATACGTAAAATCTTCCTGAATAGATATTCGTCACGTTATGAAATTATTATATCCAGCTACATTTTATGCATTGATTCCCAGTTTTCATCATTTGGGCGTCCTACTCATCTATGCTGATGAATAATGCTGTAGTTTGATATTTGTTTCATTTTTTGCAGGCTGAAAAATGTGTAACCGTGCATTCGCGTCACTCTCGCTGATTCTGCTGTTTGGCTCATCTATAGCAATGCCAAGTAAATATAAAAAAATTGATTAGTAGCTTTTAGAATCAATAATATTGTTGAAATTCTAGACTTTCTTATTAGTTGCTTTGCTGCAAAGCTAGAATTTTCAACGAGCTCAATGGCCGTTGGCAAAATGTCAAATTCAAGCTAGCTGTTAGTTTTACTGTGAACGAAGCTAAAGCTGGTGATTATAATTACATGTCTTAACTGTTCTTACCTCCACATCTTCTCTTTTTCTATCCTGTATTTCTCTAGTACTTCACTATATAATAACACCGATAAACGTTGCCCAAACTATGGCAATCACTAACATGAAACATGTTTTTTATAAGCTGTTGCCGTTTTTAAGTAATGGGAGGTATCCAAGAGCAAACAATAACACTAACCACGTTTTATTTATGGTCGCTGATTCTAATAAATTGGACAATTCTAATAGCAACCTAAAACATGCACCACGTTTTTCGATTACTGCTGCCATTCTGATTTATAAGAGATATCCAATAACAACCACCAAAACAAACCAGTTTTTATTCACCTTTGCTGATTCATACAAGATATTTAAGTAACATGAAAGGTTTGTGTTCGGCCGAAGGTAGCCCCATCGCCCCTCGGATGCTGCCGTCGCGCATGGGTATGCTACAGATGCCCAAGTCCATGTTGTTGCTGCGCTCGGACTTCAGGCCGCTGGACCCGCGTACCGCTGCGGAGCGCATGGGGCGTACGGCGCTGCTGGAGACGCAGCTTGGCAATGAGATCAACTTTCTGGAAGGCAACGGCATCAACGAGGAGGAACGTCTTCAACATCTCAGAGCAATCAAAGGCAAGTGAATAACTTTGCGATGAGTGTAGCATGTTGCCTGCCACCAGAGAGGAAGTAGTCCAATGTCAACATTGATAACTTTTGTGACTTGCTACATCATTTTCCATGTCCCTCACAGTTATATTCCTCATTATAGATTTATTATTGGATAAACCATATTCTATTAATCACGCTTGATAAACGGAGTGTTTTTTATTACCTAAGACCGTGACATGGTCATCGTCTATTTGATGCTGAGGATGACCTATTTATGTATGAACAAATAAAGTTTCGTTGAAGCATCATAATTTAACATGTTTCGCCGATATCACTCATAGTTTAGTTCTTATTTCTAACTCCTGCTTACTGCACTTTTATTCGCCGAGGCATCCGTCGGTTTCATGCATTTAAGCGCTAGAGGTTACCGAAATAAGCTATGCCAATAGTCGGCGGTGGAGGTGGGGCGGTAAGACCACTAAGGCTGTTTGAAGTAGCAGGCTTCGGCTTCCCATCCGCTTCTCAGCCATTCTAATCCGGATAAGAGTCGTCATGATTGAGATTGTAATTTAGTATTAGACTCTAAACAACGTTTCTAATTTTTTCGAATTCACTCAACACTAATTGGCTGATTATGATGTGAAAGTTTCCTAAAAGTGAGTTGAATGTGTTTGAAATTTATGGTCGTTTATATATGGAAATTGAAAAAATGCTAAATTGTCACTCCTGTCAAATTTACGGTCGTTTTATGTTTAATAATAATAACATTTATTTAAATAAATAGTTACTACGACAAAATGTGGAGCACTTATCTCTATGTTAGGCACTCCGTTAATTTGTAATGTGCTAATACCGCAAGAAATCAACTGGCTAAGATTGATTCCCAGAATTGATCGAAACATAGCGAATTGATTGAAAGATTTAATAGTAAGATTTGTTGCGAATTTATTTTCATTACAAAATGAGAATCTTCTACTAACTTTGATGCTAGATGTAATGTAAATGATTATTATCTCTCACAGTGTGCATGATCAATTACTTTTTCTTTCGTTGTGATTCTTCTGTCTTTCATCACTTGTATGATGAGCCTAAAAAATAACAATTTAATATGAAATTGTTCATAATTTGACGTCATTAACAGTGCTTTCGATTGACATGTGTGCAGGAGGAAGGCTTCCTAATACCAGCCTGACTTTGTCCGAGTGTCGGGATTCGATCGAGTGCCACCTTCTCTTCGCTCACTACCTAGGGCTGCTGCTCAGCGAGGTGCAATGAGAAAACTTATTAAAAAATTGGTCGATACTACTGCATGAACTTTTAACTCATGGCCCTTTATATGAAAGCCTAGTAGAGGAGGCTATCGAATACCCAATCTCTAGTTGTAACGAAATTATATTAGTCCGGCCGTTGATAATTTAGCCTTTGATATGGTCGCTCGAAAAGTGCTCGTAAATTAGAAACAAGTTAGAATTTGATGTCAACGAGCGGGAACAAACTCTGAAAAAATGTATTTGTAAGATTTAAATTCCGGACATTTTTTCGGCAATAGGTAAAACACTTTGGGGGGAAATTCGGTTTACTGTTTAAATGGTACAAGTTGCATCTCTCCATGTGGCTTTTATGAACGCTTATTTGGTTGTTATCCTGCTCGCTTCAGCTGTAAAAACTGAGATGAAATAGATGAATAATCTATAGATTTTCATAAGCGAGTTTGGAGAGGCTGCAATAAAACATGGTATTTTTGTAGCTAAAAAGTACGAGAATAATTACAGGGAGAGGCAATAAACTTTCTCTGTGCATGTCGTCTTCCTTGTAAATTTTAAAACGAATTTTAAGTGGGAAAGTTATTTTTCATGATTTAATGTGTTTTTAATTGAATAAACAGTATAATTACAATAAATTTGAAACTACAAATTAGGTTTTTTAATCGTAAATTTTAATGCAATAAATAAAGTTCTAATAGAAAATGCGTGAAAATGTCTTGATTTTTAACTGTACAATAAAGTGTACATCCCTTCGGCAATATTAACGAAGCAATGCTTTTTATCCAACATGCAAATGTGCTACGAAAATAAAATGAGGTATAAGTGTGTGAATATATTAATATGCAAAACTTTGTTTTAAATTGGCACGAACTCGAAATTAAGATTAAATAAATTTAAAATAGAAATTAGCTTTTCACAATTTTGCTTCTCAAATTTGTTTATGGGTAATTTAGATTTTTTAATCTACTGTACTCGGGAATTCATAAAAATTCATTTGTGAATTTGAGATCTGGGATGTTTTTTTTTATGAAAAAAATTAGAAAGGGCTAAATAAAGAGAACTTTTCCCCAAACCAGTTCATAACGTATAAATTTTGCAGCAGTTTTAGTTGGAGCTCTTAAGGATTTCAAAGTAACAGCGTTTTGCATCAAAATTATTTCAAAACCAGCAAGTTTTAAATAAAATTAAGAATTGGTTAATAAACCATCAACCAATAGCAAATATGTTGAAGCCATTGGAATATCTTAAGCAGAATCAAGGGATAAATTTCATTGACAGTCATTTACCAACTTTATTAGTACGCGATGAGAACCATAGTTAGGCAAGAATCTTCTGACAATAACGCAAAAGTGAAATTTGCTCATTCCCAAAATAACATACTTTGTTTAAAGGAACAATACTCAGACACAGCATAACTGTACTCCTTAACTTAAATTATTACTATTCTTGGGACAGATTATTGGTTTGGTTAGGAAAATTGTATTAAAAGGATTCAATTTTTTGATATATTGATACTTGGCGTCAATTCGTATGACAATTTGGAACGGTTGCACGGAGAACGACGAGATGGCGGACGCTTGCTGTGGACGTAACATTCAATTCCGGCGATGGAATGGAAATCCGCTTTCTGTATGCAGTACCTGTCCAGTAAATAATTAACTGTTAACGATATTTAAATGAAAAATTAAAATTACGACAAAAGTATCTAGACCTTGACATTGTATAATGATTAATGTGTTTGAATTACAACCAGAAGTGGTGATCGTAAGAATGTTATCGAGCCACCGTAGATTAGGAGATTAGATTAGGCATGATTATAGTACAGACCACTGACTATTTAGCCTCGATTACTGCATGAATGAATTCACCACGTCTTTGCTGTTAGAAATGTTGTATTAGTAAAAACTGAAAAATTCATGAACAGTCGCAATCATTATTAAGCCACAATTGTTTTGGTTTGCATTGCTTTTAAACCATCGACATCGGCGCTGCTTTTATTCCAGAGGTGTTGCTATCGACATTTGTTTTATTAACACAAATAGCTAGACCCGGCATCGCAGAAAGTCAATTAACAGACTGTCTTTTTGCCGCTTTGAATGTTAATCAGAATATGAAAAAAACTATAAAATTATTTATTACAATTATGGCTGCATGAATAATAATGTTGATGTTTTGCTTCAAGTTTATTTGAATCATGTTATATTGCCATTGATTGGTACAGCATTTCGAGTTAGTATTTCCGTTGTTCCTATTAGAAAATATTTACATAATTCACCGCTAAATTCAACGCCTATTAAAGAATATTGCTTCATAAGATCAGATAATTCAATTTCAGAAAATAGAATTTTTTTTCGCGCTATCCTTTTTAAGCCGAAGTTATGCTTGCAATACTTATCACATAATGTTCATAAAAGTATTATGATTAATCCTAGAAATTTTTTTTGTATTATTGGAAGAAAATGTATATATGGTAATATGTATCGTAAATTTTAAGCCAATTCTCACCTTTTCTGAGACTCTAATGAATACAATCTTATCTGCAACCGTTCTAGCGATAGGGTATATTACTTTATTCCTTTTCTGGGTCGTCTAGGTTGTGATCAGTTCTGCTCGAGAGAGGATCGAAAGATTCACCTTCTTCGGAATTTTCTCGCCTCTCTTTTTCGACTGAACTTTTATTATTTTTCCGTCTGTGTTTTGATTCAACAACGGCAATAAGAGGTGCAATAACAAATACACCACCTAAGGCGAAAAGGGCGTAACTGATCCATTGTGATATTTTGATTGGGTTTGATAATTGTTCGTGAAGTTTCCTGGCTCTGTCTTCAGGAACCAAAGCGTTCTCGTCCAGCCACAATAAGGGGAAAATCGCTGGGGTCACGTTGGACAAAATCGGTAGATTAGCATAAGGTTTCAAGGGCATGCTGATTTGAATTCTTTTCACGGCTCTGAAAGATACTCCAGTGTTGGGTTCTATGTCCAAAAATGTTTCATGTTCTTCTTTTGATGGGTGAAGCCCATCAACAGCAGATACCAATTCACTGTCACCCATGTAAAAATGAGGTGTGGACGCGATTACTGGAGAACCGGCTCTGCATGGAGCCAAATTCACCAATGATGCTTTGCACGTAAAGTTATCGGTGCAGTAGCATTGGTTTTCAGGTCGATCGGCAAGCACTTCGTTCGGTAGAGAATAACGCAACAGTTCCAAGCCTCCGTGGTTGATGCTCTTTTCGTATGTCAAATAAAGAGAACGGCAGAGATCGCCTGAAAACATTGTTATGTTTATGCCGGGATTGATAGGTTGAGGAAATTGTCCTCCGGTCGTTCCGTTGATCATATTGCAGTAAGGATCAGACCAATAATCCAAAGTTTTACTGTCTTCATACTCATCTATCACTTGAAGCTGGTCGAGGCCGTCAGCGCCAGTGAAAATTGAATACTTCCCGCCATCCGAATCATTTTTGGGGTAAAAAAACCCGAATCGGCCTGTCCGGTATTGAGGGTTGTTTGTAAATTTATATATTTCCAATAGAAAATCTTCTTCATATCCATGAAAGAGTAATTCTCCAGCCGTTTTTGTTATAAAAACATTCAATTCAAAGCGTTGTCTAAAAAATTCGATAATACCGTCAATAAAGGAATTCTTGCCTGTTGCCTTAGAGGCCACCGATATCAGAACAGGATTAACTGTCGTGATAGGAGTTTCTTCAGTGAGACCATTGGACATCTCTGGCTGGAAGAAGAATTTTGTATTTTCCAGATACTCGACGGTGGTGTCGGTCCAGTTGAGATCATGTTTGAGACGTTTCTCGAGGTATGTAAAGGGTCCTATTTCTTGCAAGGCAGGTCTACTGCCAGTGAGGATTTCCTGTGGGTTTGTTACATTGAAAAAATAGAACTGCATGTACACCGGTATTGGCGTTTCAATAAAGTTACCAATAGTTGGACTATCAGGTCTTATTACAAGCTTCTCGCCAAGTTTTCTTTGTACGACTGCTGGGAATTTTTGTATCAACACAAATCCGAACACAAGGAACAAGAATCCGACTGCACACACAACGAATTGGATCCATAGTTTCATTTTTACCTAGTACACTTCTCAAGAAGCCTCTTCTGCAAGCTATGCAAATAGTTGAAAATTGTTAATGAAACTTTCTGGTAAATTTTCACCAAATGATATAGTTCATGCGGCCACAAAAACCGCAACGTGTCATAATGTTGCGTACAAGGCAGGTAGACTAATGGCTCGTTCTGAAGAAGGAAGCCGTCCATTACAGTAAAACAACTCTCGAGTCTTATCTCGCATTATCGGTTATGATGATAAGGAGGGAATATCAGGAGAAACTTTTGTTGGTGTTAATTGTTAGTTCAGTACATTAAGAGAATTCATTTCATTAAGGGATGGAAAAAAATTTAGCTAACGATTTACTCAGTGAACTTGTCATGGGACTGCTCTACACACGGAGAGATGACTCATTCATATCGATATTTTCTGATTGCAGTAGTTGTTCAACTCATGAGATAAATGTGTTATCGTGACACAATTTTATTTCTTCCTTTCAATTCTGGAAACATCTACCTTGTTGCCAATTTTTTATTTCATACATTGAAAAACTAAAAAGGTGTCGTCGGGAATGTAAGATTTCATTTCCTAGGAAGATATTTTTTTTGTGTCAGCTAGTGAACGGCGAGTGAATAATTTAGCCATAACTGATCTATATGATAATGAAATTACTTACGTTATTTAGGCGATTGTCTGCTATAAAAAGAGTTAAAATTTTAATGCATTTTCTCGATCGCCAAAGCTCATAAATTATATGTATTTTTAAGGATTTTCAATTGTAGCTGTCTCAAGAAATCAGTGATCCGACGGTAACCGTTCATTCAAAAATTGTTCATTCCATAGTTCCCGACTTTGAAAATAATGACCCAACCGGTATTAAAACACATCGCACTGATATAACATAACATAACATAGTGATGTCGGCTCTGAAGTGTAGGCCTGATGTGGCCTGTCGCCGATTCTTTTCCATTTCTTGCTTTGTTCATAGATCTAAACTCGTGTCATTTGACCGGATCTTTTCATGACTGGCGATAGGTTGAAGAAGCTACTAGACTTCCACCGGGTTCGATAAGGAGCTAGGCATTTCAAATCTGAACATATATTTTTCCATAGCGTTATCTAGTCTGTTTTTGAACGCGTTCATACTTGGAGCGCCAACGATGTCATCGGGGAGGCTGTTCCACATGTCGGTGATTCGAAGCGAGAAGAAATTTTGTCGCGTGGAGAAGTTGCAGAGCAATTTTTTTAGCTTATAGCCGTGGCCCCTGGTGTTGGTTCTTGTTTCAAATTCTAGTAACCCTTCAGGGACCTTGTATAGACCATGAGTATACTTGTATACTTCAATGAGGTCCCCACGCAGACGTCGATAACTGAGGCTTGGAAGCTTCATAATCTTCAATCTTTCTTCATAGGACTGGCCCCAGGACGCTTCCTTGTGGCACGCCACTGCGCACTGATGCCCAGTCTGACACGGTTCCGTTAATACTGACACGTTGTCGTCTACCTACTAGAAAATCTCTGATCCACATATGCAGTATACTGTATACATACATACAGTATACATATACTGTATACTGTATACATATACAGTTTATGTTTCCAGTTTTCCTGAAATACAGGTTTTGCAAAAAAAATGTATCAGTCATCGCACCTCTCACGTTCGTATAGGTCGAGTGAATAATTATTGTTCTAGTGAACGACTTGAACGAGCGGATGAGTGGATTATGTGGAACACTTACAAGGGTGAGCAAATAAGGACGCATGGGTGTCGTCGTGTCGAACATTTGCGCGAAGAATATCCTTCGTGACGCTTCAATGGGCAGAGAGCAATGGGAGAATATTATATAAGAAGGAAAGAGAGAAAGTTAATATTACAGTGCAAAACAAGAAAACATAAGGGTGAAGGAGAATGTATAGTGGACGCATGAAATGGAATGAAAGGATGTCCTCAATTTGTACCAAAAGATTGCCATGCCAAAGTATGAATGCATGATGAATGAAAGTAGAGATGGGACATACTCTTGGTATAAGAGCAGAGGATGCTGGGTGTGAAGTACGTGCATACATCGGATTGCGAGGAGAAAAGATAGGTAGTCTCTTATGTGTTATGGAGGAAGCAGGGATATCGTCCATCAACTGATGGCGGAAGCTATAGGAGAGGTGTATTAGGGAGAAAGACATTATATAAAAAGTGTGTTTCTGAATGAATTGAAATTCAGCCGTACATTCAGCCTCAGCTCCACACCTCATTCGCAACCACGACATTCCGGTTATGTCAAGATCGTGAGAAATTTTGTGTTTTCGGCTCCATGCATCCGCATTAAGTTATAGTATAGTATAGTATAGTATAGTATAGTATAGTATCTTCGGCATTAAATAAATAGGCCTGGATAGGCCTGTCGCCGATTCTTGTACTTTTCTTGAATAGACTGGCCTTACGGACGGTAGATTTAAAATCGCTCCTAGATATCAGTTGTTCCGTAGGGTACGAGGCATTTTAAGACTGAACATATGCTCATGCATGGCCTTGTCTAGTCTGTTCTTGAACGCGTTCATACTCGGAGCGTCAACAATATCTTCAGGGAGGCTGTTCCACATGTCAGTGACTCGAAGCGAGAAGAAATGTTGTTGAAATGTTATAAGGCTTTTTGGGCTGAAACTCGCTGCTACCATGAATATATTTTCTCACCTGCTAAACCGACTTAAATGAAACCTTTCACATGTAAGGAATCGATTGATATATCATTTGACTGCTAATAATCTCCTATCAGACTTTCAACATGGCTTTATTGCCGGGAGATCCTGCACCACTAACCTCTTGTCTACTCTGAACGAATGGACCCGCCTGCTGGACGAAAAGGAGCCAGTAGATGCAGTGTACCTCGATTTTGCCAAGGCATTTGACAGTGTCCCACATGAGCGGCTGTTGCGGAAATTGCAGTCTTTGGGAATTGACAGCAAGGTACTCAAAGGGATCAGAGATTTTCTAGTAGGGAGACGACAACGTGTCAGTATTAATGGGTCTGTATCAGACTGGGCTTCTGTGCGCAGCGGCGTGCCACAAGGAAGCGTTCTCGGGCCTGTTTTATTCGTTGCGTTTATAAATGATCTGCCAGAAGCTGTGTCTAGCGTGTGCTCGATGTATGCTGACGACACAAAAATTTATAATACAGTGAAGAATACGTCGCAAAAAGTACAGTTACAAGGTGATCTTGACAGGCTGGTTGACTGGGCTGATAAGTAGCAGCTGCGTTTTAACGCTGACAAATGAAGTAATCCACCTTGGCAAGAAAAATGAACAGCAAGATTACAGTATGAGAAGACACGGTTGCAACGGCAGAGTGATGATGTCGAAGTCGACAATGGAAAAAGATTTAGGAGTTAATATCGACAATGAGTTGAAATTTCCTAGGCATATTGAAGGCCAAGTTAATAAAGCCAATAAACGACTTGGACTGATCAGACGCTCTTTCGAGTTCCTAGATGCAAGAAGCGATGAAGCAGTTGTTTGTTGCTGTCGTGCGCCCGAACCTATAGAGTTTGGAAACGTTGTGTGGTCACCGAAACTTGAAAAGGACAAAAATTTAATAGAGAGCGTTCAAAGACGTGCAACAAGGATGATTCCGGGCCTGAAGGCAAGTCCTATGAGGAAAGATTAAAGATTATGAAGCTTCCAAGCCTCAGTTATCGACGTCTACGTGGGGAACTCATTGAAGCATACAAGTATACTCATGGCTTATACAAGGTCCCAGAAGGATCACTAGAATTTGAAACAAGAACCAACACCAGGGGCCACGGCTATAAACTAAAATAACTGCGTTGTAACACATCCATGCGACAACATTTCTTCTCGCTTCGAGTCACCGACATGTGGAACAGCCTCACTGATAGCATCGTTGACGCTCCGAGTATGAACGCCTTCAAGAACAGACTAGATGAAGCTATGCAGGAGCATATGTTCAGTCTTAAAATGTCTAGCAAATTACGGACCAGGTAATAAGTCCAGCAGCTATCTCAATCAATCGTCAGTTATGGAAAGATCGGGTTCCAAAGGCCGGATCCCTTGTGAATCAAGTCACGAAAAATTCATGAATCGACAACAGGCCATGGGCCTATTTCTTCAGTGCCGACACTTCTATTCTAAACTCTTTTTAAACTTTTTACTTGTGTTTAAGTCACGAGAGCTCTTCAACCCGGCTTCATTCGCGAGTTATACGGTTATGTGGGTGTTTCATCGGAAATTTTAGCTGCTGCGGTCCTATGACCTGTCGTCCATGCGGCCAGGAATTATTTCACGAACTATCGAACGGATTTCGATGAAACTTTCCGAAATAAATCTCCAAGGCCTTTCACTCATGTTGAGACTATTTATTTTATATTATTCAAAAGTTATTTGGCCAATAGACTGATTGTTTAAAATAATAATTTATTAAAAATACTAATAATTAATATAAATAATTTAATATAATTTTCTGCATAATAGAAACGATTCACCATTTAGCTGCCCGGGTGGCTCTTTAACTTGAAAAGGAATCCTAAAAAATCACCATCTAAACTCGAGTGAGCGATCTGCAGTAGTTTATTTGCAAAATTTTAATCTAAATCTGTGATCCGGAGATATTTTTTGTCAATGGGACAAATTTTGAAACGCCGGCAGAGGATCGGCCACAAGACCTCTCGCTGAAAGGTCCGGCGGTTGTGTGAAGGTGGCTCAGAAAATGCCATTAATTGTAATTGAAGTTATTTGTGATTATTTGGAAGAATTTTGATTTTTAATACTTTACAGATGCAATGAAATTGAAATGATTCCTTATAACCCCAACGCATTATATTGATAATCGTACGAGCTTGGAGAAAATTTTTATGTAATTTGAGGGTACGTGCATATAGCAGAACTCGAGAAATGCGAAGGAGATCGTAACGATGAAATGACTGAAGATCACTCTCAGCTCATTCGTCGCATTGCTGTTACCGGATGCGCTGCTCGTTAGCTGCTCGTCAGTCCGCACCAACGCCACCCTCCGCCTGCTCTCAGCCTGTCACCTTCGCTAGTGTATACAACTGGCGAAATGCGAAAGTGTCTCGCAGCACTTTTTATGTAATTTCATATAAGAATAAATTGAGAGCTCCAGCCTACTATGGGATGGCGGGCACAAGGAGAAACGGTATTTGAGACACTTTTTATTTATTGTTAATATCATAATATGTACTAGTAAGATTGTTCAATACACTCTCTACTAACCCTTTGCCTTTTTGGCCTTTGAAGTTTGAAGGCGACTCGCAAGTTGCCCGCGACCTACTTATAATGTTATTGTATAGGCTTCGCAATTACATTAGTATAATAGTTGTTTTTTCACTGATATTCATTTGAAAATGAAGAAAGTTACAATAACCCCTATTTTAGTATTTATGCAATTTAAATAACCTTTTAAGTTTTAGTTTTTACAAGTCCCTCTATGGCCTCTAATGATAATCTTACTACATAATACTACTACAGTACTACTAGCCTACTACCATAGTGAGTCTGTAGACTTTGGTCAGTTTAGTGTAGGTCAGGACTCATGAGTGTATAGGTAGTAGACTATAGTAGCGGTAGCCTAGTAGGTAGCCTGCAAAGAGCTCAGGTACCTTGAATTAGCTTAAATAGTGTCACTTGACCTGGTCAAATAAAATCAGCTTAAAAAATATGACAATTTGCTATCAATCATGAATGCTGATAACCAATGCCTTGCCACTTGCCAGTTGCCAGCAGTACCAAAGTTGCCAGCTTTTAGTTTAATTATTATAAGTTCAAAAGAAAACCAAATCAGCTTTGTAGTCAATGACTAAAAGTCAATGACCAATGTATCATTAAACCCTAAACGTATCACTACCTATGTGCAGTTTCTGGCTTTCTGCCAAGTTGCCAACTGCTGAGCGTAAGTGGTGAATTATGTGGCATTGAGTCATTGACTTGTGATGTTCCTTAATCAAAGACAAGATTAAGATTAATTAAGAAGATTAATTTGTCAAAGTTTAATTTGTCACTAGTCTATTATTTTATATGTCTATGTGCCACAGCCAATGCCTTACAGTTGGAAAAATGCATCCATTTTTTGAAATTTTTTTCTGGCAGTAATCATTTCAGTTACTGGTACATGTACTTGGAGTGCTCCCGGTTCAATCTATTCCAACCAATTATTTCCAGTGCAGTCATTGCAATTTCTGGCCAATGGTCAATAGCCAAGATCAATGGTCAGGTCAACCTTCTTGATATTTAATTTAGCTGTTTGGTAATATTCTAGTCAGGTGCTTGATAACTATGATATTGTATGCTTTGCAGGTCATTTACTCAATGAGACATCCACATTGAGCTCTAGTTCTGCTCTGGGTGATGGGGGCTTCAGGGATGTGAGCAAACGCAACTGCTGCTACCAGTGCTGGGCCTGGGCAAAGGATGGCTTCACTATCATTGCCTGTTGCTATGGCATCCTCACAATTGCCATTACCATTGCCCTTGTCTTCCAAATTAGATTTGGGACTCCTCAGGTAAATATATAAATGTACAGTAATTATCAGGTCAGTTAAGTGCTTCAGTCTAAGTAAAATCATCTTTGATAGGTATACATTAAATTAGGCTTCTATTTGGCATGATATTGAGATTTAATGATTAACTATGTTTTCTCAGTGAATTTTTCATGAATCTTGATGTTTGATGTATTGTTCCATTTTCATGCATGTGATTAATTTAGCCATTTCATTCTTTATTTTGAAAAAGTTTAAATGGTTTTAAGCTACACCTAGAAGCAGCATTGTGGCTCTATTTGATTTGTCATATTTTGAACTTTAGACTGCCAACAAATTTTTAAGGGCTTCACATTTTATTAGAATTTTTTGTATCTTCCTGCCTTAAACTCAATTTTTTTCCTTGTCTCAAAGCAATTTATAATATTGTTTGTCATGCCATAGTTCAAAATGTACGGTATAAGCAAGTAAAGGTGTTATAATTATTATGTTGGAACTTGAAATTTTTATTTTATAAGGTCATTTTTTGACATCTTAAAATATATATTTAGCCGTTTTATTTAAGTTCAGAATTTTTAATTGTATAAATAGTTGACAAGACTCAAAATCTAGATTTACTCCTGAAGGTAACGCCAGTAGGAGCAGTGGCATCAGATGATGGCGAGTGTAGTAATGCAGCAGTGCTGGCTGTGCTGAGGGAGGGCGGCTCTGCTGTAGACGCCACTATTGCTGCTCTGCTGTGCCTCAGTGTCACACATCCCCACCTTGTGGGGCCTGGTGGGTGAGTAAATGCACTAGGCATCCAAACCATCAGGGGACCTGCTGGCATCCTAAACTAAGCTAAAGCCTAGTAGGTAATTGTAGTTCTGACCAGTATTATAGATATGGTTTTGAGTGATTAGCAGCAAGGTATGTCAGGAGATTGTAGTTTGCTTAATGACTTTATGTACTATTTTCAAGATTTGACTGAATTTGTTTAAAGCCTCAAAACAGCCTCTTTAGCTCAAGCTGTATCTAAGGTTTCTTGTATAAAAAACGTGCATCCCTTCAAAAATCTTATCTTTTCCTCAATATAATGTAGCATTGTATTTTTCTCTCTGACTTGAGAACCAAATAATTTGGTAGAAACTATTATGTATGTTGTTATTTATCTACTATAGTACAATACAAAAAAAAGTAAATGATATGTACAAATGGGTCCTCCTCATTTATTGTATTGAAAATATATAAATTTTGTTGTATGAAAATTTTCTTCATGCTGTAATGATATCTGTATCAGAGGAGGTGTGATGCTGGTGAGGGACCATGTGCAGAACAAGACACGCGTCATAGACTTCTTGCCCAACATTCCTGCAAGCTTTGATCCAGCCAAACGCACATCAAACATAGGTCAGTGTTGTCTTCTCCCTTATTTGTCATTGTTTTTGTGCATTTACTATTTTATTTGCTTTTTGCTCGATTTCAGCAATCCTCCTTCTATTGCACATAATAAATGTATTCATTTGGTGACTTGTTTGAAAGGCATTCTGTATGGATCACAAAGATCAAGCCTTTTTGTGTGCTAACATGAACATGTAAATGACAGCACAGTTATGGTTTTTCTCAAATTGCTTACATTTTTTTTGCTGTATTCGTTACAACAATGTATTGCAATTTTTTGCAAAATTCCTGGTTTCTTAAGCTGTACTCCTTAAAGCGGGAATAAAGGAAATTCCTATACTCATCCCTCTTGTGATCTTGCTGATTATTACTTATGACCTTTTATAGTTAGTTAGCTCCGGTGCTTTGAAAAAAAAAAAAAAATTGATGAATCACTTGGAATAAAAATTCTTTCCAATTCAGTTGTCACTAATCAAGAGTCTAATTTCTATGAATGAGAAATTATGATCTTCATGCTGGCAGTTTGACAGAAAACAAGTTAAATTTGCTTGTGAAATTCTCTTGTGCGTCAATATGAATCTAAAGCAAAGGTACAGGGACCAGCAATTGAAATTCTTGACAACGAGTTATTCTTTATTTTAAATTTGATACATTCTTATTTATCTGTACACCATGCAGGTGGAGAAAGTATTGGTGTGCCCGGGTTCCTACAGGGCCTACAGAGAGTTCATGAGCTCTATGGCAAACTGCCTTGGGCTAGTCTCTTCGAGCCTGCCATCGTGAGGGCGAGGTAAGCCAACACTTATAATTTCCCTTATCTAATTAGACTTCAAAATAGATATTTTTCTAAATAAATAGAGTATTAGCTACCATAAGTGTAATCTCTTGCTTTTAAATTTTCTCCTGTCACTTATTTGAAGATCTCAATGTAAAGCTTATTATTATAGGTTTAGTCACATGATTGATACATTAGCTTAACTTGGGTACAAAATTTTGTTTTCTTATATAAAAAAAAAAAACTAATTGAGCATTGTTATCTAGACACAGCTTTAAAGCATCAGACATCATCTTTCTTGTTTCAAACTTCTGTATTCTTTTCTTAATTAGTTGAATTCACTCTTGAATGAAATATCAGTCTGAAAATTTTCATGCTTATTCAGCTATTTATTTTCAATTTCTGTACAAAAACAACAAGTACATAAACTTTATATAACATCTGTTATGATAGAGGTAAATGTTGTACATCGCTGTTCTCTTTACTTGCGACTCACTTGAATTTGTGAGACATACGGAAGTAGTAATATTAATTTTCTATTGATCGGTATTACATGCATATATCTAAATCAAGCGCCATTTTAACAATATTTTTTTACAAAAACTATACGAGCATACTCTCATGTGGAGTTGATATCTCGTATACTAGCTGCTCAAATGCAGGCGTTGTGGGAGGTATGAGGGGAAACAGACGGCATTTATACTGACAATGACTAGGAGAGTTGCAGCTAGAAACGGCATTGAAGGTTAAGGATGCAAGCACAGTGCCTGAAATTCATATCTATATTTTCCAGGCCTCGAGCTGAAAGCGTTTGCCCCCTGACATTAGCGAACTGTAGTTTCAACTAACGTTAGTTAGCTTGCTGTTGCTCTGGCCGGTGACAGTCGCGAATATCTCGTTCTCAGACTTCACCGCACTATGAATAGTTGACTACCAGACTTGAAACCCTTAATACCCTTGAATCGCTTATGAATTACAGGGAGAGTTTGTTTAGCGTAATAAATGAACCATTGGCGGTGTTTATCAGTTGAGATTCAATGTGAGTTTGACTGTAACACCTCATTGATATCCAGGTTGGGCTTCAACGTCTCACAATCCTTGGATGATGCCTTGGCTCTTCTCAATGCAGCCCTCATTCCTTCCCCGTCCCCCATGTTCACGGACACACAAGCGAACTCGTTCTCCTCCACCTTCATGCCGTTCGGTGCTCGTCTCAAACGTGGCACGGTGGTTTCCCGACGCCCGTATGCTGATTTCCTTCAGAAAGTGGCCGACTTTGGGCCTAAGGGTAAGAAGCCATGTCAAGTGTGTGCCTTGTCAAAAATTTCTTAGACCTCATGATGAAAACCTTAGATCTTCCCTGCTTAGGGGAATTTGGACGTGGAAACGAAAGTTTCACTTTTTGTTCATGTAAGTGAATATTTATTTTCATTTTCAATGTGGGGCAAGTTAGTGTTGTTTTTTTCTCAAACTTCTCACAACTTCACGTACTTTTTGTTCTAATGTTACAGTTCTATTTGAGTTGGACTACTCGGTGGAAGTTGTTAAGCTGCTCCGAGAGAGTGGCTCCAATATCACTGTTGCTGAACTTCAAAATTACGAAGTAAGTTTGCATAAGCTCGTCTCAGTAATTTCACGAGTGTTTTTGAAAATAAAACTTGAATTAGCCATCATTTCGTTTGCACCAGCTGTAACTTTTTCCACTATCAGTTTATGTAATGTTTACATTGGTACGTAGTGCAGTTAAGCCAGTCTAAATTCGCTATTTATTTCCAAATGTCATTGTTATACTCGTAAATTGAAGATAACTTCCGCCTTGGCGTTAAATAGTTGTTGTGCGCATCTAAATTTACCATAAGATCTCCACTGCATGTATTAGTGATTCAAAGTGAATACGGTAATCCCAATTGAATCAAAAGGTTATTCAGTTTTTCAGCCCGACCATGAACCTCTCCGGTCCGCGAGTACAAAGATTTTCCAGTACTCTAATGCACCCCACTAAAAAATTCTGAATTTCAATTTACATGACAGGTTCGCGAGTATGACTCGGTGTGGTCAAGCTACTCGAACAAGACGGTGTTCACGACTGCAGGCGCCGGGGAGCTGCTGCTGTCCACCCTGCAGCTACTCGCCAACACCGGTGTAGGCTCCACGACGCCTGCTCCTCAGCTCTACGAGCGCATCGTACAGGCGCTCAAAACCTATTATCCGGTCTTCTTCAAAATGGGTGGGTTTAAAGATACTTCGGTTGTTTGTGCGCAAATCTCAAGTGAACTAAACGAATGTTTTGGAGGTTTTGTGTGTGATATATATCTGTGATATATATATTTTAAATGGTAACGCCTGTCGTTTCATTTGTATTCACGTAAAAAAGGTCTGTGGATAAAATATAATTAATAATTTTACTTGGAGCTTACCAAGGACTTGAAATCTCTGGATTGTATCAGGTTTATTATGAATAATACTATGAAAATAAGAGATGAGATGACCATCAAAAAAACGTTTAAAAATGTGTTCAGCGGAAGCTTTGGAGCATCGCTCTCCTGTGAAAGAGGCTTACCGGAACTTGAGTGGAGAGCTAAGTCTTCACGACATTTTTCACGACATCAGCGAGAAGAGCGCTCAACTTTTCGATGTCCAGCATGTCCACGAGACGGTATTGTTCTAAGCTCTGCTTTCCCCGTGTATTTAATAAAGAGCCTTAGGTCAATATTTGCACCAACTAACGGTGGAATTGAAGCGTTTGTAACTACAATCCCACATTACTCTGAAGTTATTAATGAAATAAGAATGGCTATTGTGTAAACGTCGATGTCAAAAGTTCATTATCACATCTACATTCCTCTCCTATGTTAGTTTTCTCCCTGTTGCTCCCTTCATGCACTACGTTCTCTTCTCTTTTACTGTATCTTTACAAAGTTTGCTGTAATGGCTTCATTTTCATACTTTGATTTCTTAATTTCTAATATACTGTATATGATTATTTTCAGCTGAAGGTTATTCTCTTCCATGAAGCCCATGCCTTGCTTAGAGCATTCATTCGTAATTTCCTATCCCAGCTCAAGGTCTTTTTTCATGTTCATATTGCCTGACGGCACTTCTCGTGTATTGTTTTCTCCTAGCGGTTCTTTGACTCCAAAAATTTCTTTCTTGCTAGCGATTAATCTCGTTCTTACCCCCGAATATATTTTTCGCAGTCGATTCTTCTCTTCCATAAAGTTCTTTCTCTGCTAATTGTCCTTTTATTTTGTGATATACTTTACAGCTGAAGTTCCTTATCTTGCCTGATGTCTCTATGATGTCGACTTTTATAAGCCTGATAGTTCATGAAACTGAATAACAAAGGAATGAATTTCTTATTAGCAAAACCAATTCATCAAGATTTCAAAAGCAATATAAAACGCCTAGTAAATTCACCATATCTTCATGAAAACGGAGACCAGCTTCATCAACTACAAAACTTTTTTATGAAGATGTATTATATATTTACAAGGCGGTTTCTTTGCTTCTAAATTCTTAGTGAACTTTTGGTTGATGCAGACTGACGATATAAATACTTTTATACAACATCAATTTGATCTTCCTCTGGCCCAGGATGACGCTAGCAACGTGCTGGCGATGCACAAGCTCATGGAAGGCGTCCCCGGCGTGGCGGTGAAGTCTCTACCGCAAGCGTCTGCCACGCAAGTGTCCGCCGTGGACACTTACGATCTTTATGTGGCCGCTGTCGCGTACGTCTATTTCTTATTTGTCATTGTCAATAATTATTGAATATCTCTGGAAACCATATTTATGTGCCCACTGCTGCATACGTCTATTTCTTGTTTGTAATTGTCAATAATTATTTAATATCTCTGGAAACCATATTTATGTGGTCACCGTTGCGTACGTCTCGCTTGTTTTATTGTAAATGTCAACAATAAATTATTGTCTCAAAAAACCATCTTCATGACAAGATTGTCAATAATTGGCAGTCATGTAGGAACCTGGCAACGAGTGTGGCCGTCAGTTAACATCTAATTTAAGTTTGTACTGCGTATGAATGTTGTGCGATTTTAAATGATTGCTTTGAGGATGTGTTAAGAAATAGTCATCCTAATTTTTGTGCAATCATCACCGGGTTGGATACGCAAATTTAGTCTATTTTGGTTAACATAATTACAATATCCTTTCATTACTTTTTACTTGCATATGTAATGCTAAATCGGCAACTTATCGAGGTATTTTAATACCTTGCCGTATCAAGTTCTCTATTTTAATATATTAATTACATGTTAACTAACTATTAAAACATGGAAGTAAAATAACAGTTTACTCGCTTAACAGGAGCGTTGGTTCTCTGTTTGGGTCGCAACTGATGACCGCCCACGGGGTGCTCTTCAACAACATGCTTGCCAGCGTGCCGGTCACTGCAGCCCGTGCAGCTCAGCTCCCTGATCAGCCCGAGCTCCAGTACGTGATTAGAGTTAGGGCACTAGGATCTGTCTAAGCGTGTAACACAAAATAGCTAACATAAGTTAGCATTCATTCGTTATTTCATTGCTTGAAAGACTATGTCACAGCTAACATTCATTCACTGACTATTTTACTGATTGAAATATGCCGTAGTTATCTTTCACTAATTATTTTAATAATTACAATGACTGGAAATCGGTCATAAATAGTGGTTTCAATATTTACGTGCTTACCCAATCAAAATAAAAATATATTATTATATTAAATTATAAGCTGTACTTAATGTCAATGGTCAGCCGTCAGGTTCTCTTCTCGGTAAACGTGGTTGGGACGTAATAAATTAACAATTGCATAGGGTTTTAAGCCTGCAATTGGACGACTTTTCCTTATAATGTGAGAGCATAATGCATGTTCAATTTCTAAGTTATAAAACTTGACGGGGTACGTAATTGACGTTCCAAACATTCGTAAGTCCAAACAAAGACTTATTTTCATTCCTTGTTGCCTATAATATTTCCAATTTTTATTTGCTCTTCGTTATGTTTTATTGCAACTATTGATTAGTTTTGATTATTAATTTGAACGCACGTGCGCGCAGAAGTGATATGGACAGCGCTGGGCGTGGCCGTCCGTTGCTGCCGTTTGCTCCCTTCATCGTTGTGGACGAGCGGCAGGTACGAGCGAACGTTGCGTGCGGTTGTGCTCTTCTTGGTGCTTTAATCGAATATAGCTCCATTGTAGTTTACTAGTTTGAACGGTATTGTTTTTGTTTCACTATTTATTTATTGCTGTGCCGTGAAGGTGGGCACACCTTGCTGTTCTTGGTTCATTACTTGAATATAGCTCCATTTTAGTTTACTAGTTTTAACGGTATTGTTTTTGTTTCACTATTTATTTATTACTGTGCCGTGAAGGTGGGCACACCTTGCTGTTCTTGGTTCATTACTTGAATATAGCTCCATTGTAGTTTACTAGTTTTAACGGTTTTGTTTTTGTTTCACTATTTATTTATTGCTTCATTGTATCTTCTTTCGCGATGGAACGTGCCGTGAAGGTGGGCACACGGTATTGTTGTAGTCTCTTGATTTGAAGGCTATTTTTATTTTTTTTTGTTATACTATTAATTTACTGGTTCATTATAACTCTTTTACAAGCGAACGTGCCGCTAACATTTTGCTCATCTTGGTGCATTTAATGAATATGGTTTCAATAAAGTCTCTCAATTTTAACGTTAAAATTCAGGGTTATATATTTTACAATTGCTTATGTAAAATTGCCTGTTACTTCCATGAATTATGTAATTATAAATTTTTTTCTTAGTTTTTTACTTTGGTGCTTCGTCTTTTAGTATTTTTTTCTTTTTATCATGAAATGAGTTATTATTTAAAGAAAAATTGAGAAATATAATAAAATAGTTACAACCAAAAATTTTTGTTGTAGCTATTATAAATAAGGAGACTTCCTTACCATATTTACACTGCCCGTTGCAAATATTTACACTGCCCGTTGGTGCAAGTTACACTACTGCACATTATTGCACACGCCTAATTTGTTCCAGGTTTATAAAGTCGAACAACGTCGCACTGGCACCATTCAATTATATGGTACCTAATGGCTTATTATGATACGCATTGAGGCGATAAAGCTCGCTGAACTGTAACTTTGCAGACTCTCTGAGCAATAACTGAACCTTGAAAAGCTTAGCAAATTGAGATAGAGAGTACTGACAACATTAAAAAGGTAGTCTTCAACATGAATTTCAAGAATTGACCTAGCTTTGCGTCAGCTCGGAACTGAAGTAGCGTTATTGCTCCAAGTTAAAGCACCAGTGAGTGATAGATCGTAACACTGCCATATTGATCACGACTCCAACCTAAAAAAAATCATACAACACCGTCAAAATGTTGCATTATAGGCGCTGCATCTCGTGTGCTATGCACTTGTGTTTTTGAGATCTCGTGACAATTTTTTATGTTGCTGTTAGCCCTCATGCCCTAACATTGTGCGCGAGTTTTTATATGAAAGTCGCGATTTGAAACGCTAGTTATTGTGGCTGCTAAATTAACTAAATTATATCGATAGTCAAGTTATAGTTTCTAATTTTTATGATTTTCAGTGGTAACAAAATTTCTGGAAGGTATGACAGGGTTGGGAGTAAAATTTTTCAAAATTGCTTCCCATGACTTTTGACTGCCTGTATGATCTTACCTTGGAAAAGCTTATAAATGAATGTATTCATTATACAAAATAAATTTGATATCATTTCAGCTGATACTTTACAAAACTAAAAATAACTGGAAGTTGCAGAAAAAAGTACGTACCTATGAAATTTATTTGATTATTAGACTACTTGAACGAATATTGCAACTTTACAATAATTCACGTTGCTATCGAATTCATTTGGTGACTTTACAATAATCACAGTAGTAAGAAAAGCGAAAGAGCGTAAAAATGAAATGAATTAAGATTGAGACAATAAGAGTGATGCGTGTTGCAGGTATGCCGTCACCGCGTAGTGTGCAGCAGTAGCAGCGTGAGCGACAGCGTGCAGGTGCTCACTCATCATCTGCTGCGAGGTCTTCCCGTCACCGCCGCCATCGCGCAGCCCAGGGTGGCCCTCGACCCTGCCAACGATGTCGTCCTTGTGGATGGTCAGCTTCATGATTGCAGTTCTAATATTCATGTTTCACTTCTGAACAGTTCTTTACTCATTCTCGTTACTGAATTATTTGTCTACTCATTCCAGTTATACATATATATCCAATTTCTTATATTTGGGGTCATTGATATTCATGAATGTTAAGAAACTTTTCTCATTGCTGTTTTGATGACGACCTTAGGTGGCTCTGTAATAACCGGAACATTTACATTTCTATTCACAGATCTTTCGGACGGACTGCGATTGCACGGAAGCGTGCGAAACTTTTTGATTTCCAAAGGCTATCAACTCCGTATAAACCACCCGCCATACTCGAGCGTAAACTCCGTGATCAAAATAAAAGATGACCTTAGTTCTCATTCCGATACGAGAGGAGGAGGACTAGCGGCCAGACTGGGCAATGAAGGCGTTGATTATCAAGAAGAAGTTCATGTACAGGATTCTGTTAAGGAAAGACTTAGTGGAGAGCCTGTTGATGTGGTGAATCCAGATGTCGAAGTTGCATCAGATAACGACATGGGTAGCGATGGCGTGCACCACGCGGTTGTTGTGGACAGTACATCTAAAAAACAATTTAATAATATATCCGATCGCGTGATATTAGGTTCTCCTGATAGCACTGTAATTCAGAACGAAAATAATAGATTTTATGAAAATGCGCCTACTTCACCTGATTTTAGTGGCCTTTCAATTCCCAAAAAGGATAAAGAAAAGACTACTGTGCGTCCTAGTTCAGTCAACAAGAAGTACATGGGCGACGCAGAAAAGTTTGACCAAAGCGAGGGTGACACACAAGGAACGGGCTACGTAGTGAAAGGAGATACTAGGGGTGGAGTGAAACTCGTGTACCACAAACTAGATGAAAAATTGAAAGATATTGGCGTTGATAGCAGTCACGTGAATGCTGGCAGAGGTGCATATTCTAGCGTGGATCTTACAGGAGCTAATCAGGGTGGAACTAAATTCACCGAGCCTAGCATAGCTGCCCAGCCTATTGGACCTCGCGTCTCCTCTGGAGGTTTACGTGAACCGCTCATAGACAGCGTTTTCAGCGACTACGATCCATCACGTCACATGAGCCAGGTGCGTGTGGACGATTATCCCGCGGGAGCCGAAGAAGGGGAGGAGAGATTTGTGCCCACGGACACAGACTACGATGAAGCCCCTGTCAACATTTGGGGCAAAACAGAGACCTTACCGACGCACTCTCCACACGTTGCTGTTCTGCCTGGCCACCTCGTGCATCAGTTCCGGAAGGAGATGCAGAAACAACAATTGATGGAACAGCAACAACAGAAGCTACAAGCTCATCTCGAGCAACAGCAAAGCCCAGCGATCCTACAACCTGCACGAACTTTGTTCAGTCCTGAACAACCTGGCGCCGGGCTGCCGATCATCATCCAGCGTCACAGAGACCACTCGCATCCTATCCTTGGCAGCGAAATTAGTGGTCCTTACGAGGAAATACTGGGCTAAATACTTGCCTAGTAAATCCTCATAACTTAGTAACTCCATGTCTTCCACCTAGAATTATGTCTTATTGTATAACTTAATATCTCCATGTTTTCCACCTAGAATTCTTTCTTAATGTAACCTTTTCCATTTCGATTCTCATTCTCACTTCAATGATTCTCATGTCTCAATTTCTTAGTTTTTCAAAATTGGAAACTAGGAAGCAAATATCCATACATGATGCTCCTTATTGTGCTGTTATTCCTGTTTAACGTGGCAGATAAGTTCTATTTGTGCTTTACCGTCGCCTTATTGACGTTTCGTCTGAGAACCGCATGGTTCATTTTATGTTGGTCATAGTTTAAATTTTTTTCAGAAGTAGTTGGTAAGCTTGACGGCAATTTTAATTTTTCCACAGCATATAATGTTGAAGTTTTTTCCATTGAATTTTTTGTTTAACTATTTCGTCAGTATTTGGTTATGTGCTCTTGTTGGGAATACGTTTTGCAGTGTGAGGAGAAGTCGGAGTTTGTGTTGCTAAAAGGACCATTGGTTTGCCCGACGAAGCGGCACCCTCTGCTCTGTTGAACTGTTATTTGACTCTTTTTCACTATGATGAATCCTGCCACGACACCGACGCTTTTATATCAGCAGGACAGCTTGTTACTAGTTATTGTTATGGATTGCATGGTGTTGATGCGCGCATACCGCTACGTAGTTTATTTTTTTACTCAATTATAGTAAGTTAGTGTATAGAAACGGGCGCTGGTTCATCATTTAATTTTCATGATCTATTTTATTACACCATTTTCTTTCAAGTTATTCATTCTGCAGGGGCCGGATTATCAAAACTTCGTAACTTTTTGTACTTACGACAAAAAAGTTCTGTGGTACGTAAATACACCCTAATTTTGGCATTATCAAAACTTTCGTACCCAAGTCTTAGCTAAAAGCCTAAATTTTTTTCCCGCGCAAATGTTTTTATAATACCACCGCTAGTATTACGTTGTCATAGCAACGCCGCTCGTAAGTCGATTTTGCGTACTTACGAAGTTTTGATAATACGGCCCCTGAACGATAGCACATTTCACATTTCCAATTTAGCTTTCTAAATTCTTTTTGTACTGCTGTCCCATGACGTCTATTCACGTTAAATAATAATTTTTTTCCTTTACACTTAAATTGCGTTGATTTTTACACTCCTGAATTTCAGTGCAATTGATATCTTCCGTTATGCTAGTCATTGGGATCTATTTCAATGGTCTTCTCAGCTCTGTACCTTATTAATTTTACCGATTATTGTTGCAAACTAGTGGTGGTAGACAAATATTTACTAGCACTTCATGTTATTTTGCTAATTTGAAATCCAATTTTTCATCCATGAACCAGTATAAATAAAATTCCGGGTAATGTTGGAATGAGGAAACGAGAACTAAAATCTTCTCACTTCCGTAAGCTTCAAACGCTGAATCCTACAATTTCTCGTTAATTTTGTTTATATTTTGTAAGGTTCCTAGTAATTAATAGTGAGAATCTCATTTCGAGTATTGGATCTATTTTTCCTGTAACAGCAGGTATCCACGATCGAAATAATGAGCGAGATTTAGATTTGCTTATATTTATTATTAAACTTTAGTGACTAACAACAAAACATGGAATAATAATTTATCGATACACGAAATGAATGTTCTTTCGAAACGTTTTCATTCTTTTCCCCACTCATATCAATATCTCAATTATGACGTTTAATAACGATATACTATATGACCGATATGATTGAAGACTTTCTTCGCTCCGCTTCACAAAAGAAGCAGAGCGAGCACAATTTCTCGCGCGCTTCGGGATACTAACTCGTATTGCAATTGATCTAGCTTTGTTGTAAACCGTAACACATGATGACTGCATTAAAATAAATGGCAGTGATTGTGCTTGTCATATCAGGGATTTCAGAGCACAATGTAAATAGCCTTAATTGCAAAAAAATTCTTTCCCGATACTTGATGCTATAGTTATTGTGTATAGATAACTTTCATTAGCAAAAAAAATACTTGGGTCATCACGTACGCGTAAGCAAATCAATAATGAATTATTTTATTATTGCTAGTGTAAATATTCATTTCGAACAATGACGTGCTAGACTAGCAGACGAATAAGATCAACAATTATAGACATGATTTAGCGCGAAATAGTGAGATCAAGTTCCCTTGGCAGATCGTATGCCGAAGTATAGATTTCCATGCAAAATATAAATTGAAGCAAACGCATCCTTTGATAATGCAATACAAAGCGAGCTTCTATTCGTGATCAAAACTTGAATTCTTCGACGTTAGGTGCCTACGTAGTTATTTTGACAGTTCTAATGAGCAACGGTCAAATGTCAGGGTAAAAATTTTCTCCAACGAAACTACAGAAAATGCCCAAAGATATTTGAATATGAACACAAGAAACAAGAATACTTGAAATACAGTACGGTTATAAAGCCACATTAACAGCAACTTAAATATTTTTAACCGACCTCCACTTCAGTCACAGGCGCATTAGGCTTAGAGGCATTTTCGGACTGTTGAAGCTTGCCTACCACGTGTCGAACCCATCCTTTGGGCCTGCGTTTTTGAATAACTACTCCTGCAGTCCTGCTGCTGCTGCTGTCATCGCTATCAGTGTTCGAAGACGGCAACGACAGAGGGCCAACGCTACCCGAAGATTTACGTGAAGGCTCGCATGGCAAGGATCCTAGTTCCACAGATGAAACGATATTCTCAGGGAATGATGTCGAGGATGAGATCTTTTGTTGAACATCGTTGCGTGCCTCATCAGCAGAGGAAGTGTCGGCTCCACTATCACTGTTGCTCCCGATCAATGATTTCGCCGGTAAAGATGACTGACGATTTTCTGAACGTTCGTGTAGTTTGGGCGGCACGGAACTAGATCGAGTATTAAATTTGATGATATAGTTACCAATATTTCTTATGGACTTCCGTCTGGTGATGCTGATACTCTGGACGGGAGAGCGAGTGTGGATAATGCCCTTGTCTAATTTTTCACACGAGTGACCCTCGTCTTCGGCGCCCTCCACAGAAGTCTTGATAGGATTGTTCACTGGAGGCAACTTATTATTTTCAACTGCTGAACTAAGGATGGTTGTGTGGCGACTAGTAGCACGAGACGATCGAATAGAAGTAGTCACGTTGGCGACATTTCGACTTACGAAAGAGCGGACGGACATCAGAGGTGATGAAGGCACTTTATGCTTTTCTGTGCTACTTTCCAAAGATTCTCGATTCACAATGGTATTTGACGTTGAGGATTCATCTCCGTTTTCCGAAGAGGCATTATTTTCTCTTATATTAACTATCTTGGAATGTGTTTCTCTGCTGTGCCAATTAACTTCTGTGCTAGATTTCAATTCTTTCCGTCTTTCTTCTAAGGATTTAATACCATCGAGCTCAATAACAGGGCTATTAGTCGTCCTAGAGAACTTGGAACTTTCTTCAAGGTTCTTAAGGTGAGTCAGAATTTTTGAACCACAATTCCTGCTTGCCTTTGAGCAAACTTTTTCGGGCTTTGCGGGAACAGGAGGAGGTGTCTTCTTACGAGGACTGTCAGCGCGCACCGGAGAAATTTTTGTAGCGCAAGGAATTTTCGGGGAGCTTAGAGTTGTCCTTTCGTCGGTCACAGAAACTGTTGCTTTGCCGTCTTTTTCGTCAGTTATTTCACTCTTGGAAGTGTCGAGGACAAACGATGAATTAATACAAGCATTTATGTCTCGATCACGCGATCCTGAAGGAATAACTGCAAGAACCTCGTGAAAATGTGACGTCAAGGTTGAAGATCCAATTGAGATGCACTTATCCGAAGTTACTGAACCTGGATTTAATAAAATCTCATTTTCCTTCGATTCCTTGTGTAATTCGGATGATAAAGACTCAGCCATAAAATTAGAAACGGTGACTTTATCGGAAGACTTGAAGTTCGCATCGCTCGAATTTCCGGCAGATTTTTGTAATATCGTGACAGGTGTACATACATTCGACGAAGCTGCGACATCGGACTTTCCGTATCCCACAGCCGTTTTTTCACTAGAATCACATTCGTTATGCAATAATCCGTCCGAAGTAACTACGGTTGTTTGGCACACGTCATTTGCCTCAGGGTTGCTCTCCTTGTCTACAAGATCTTTGTTGAGTCCAGATTTTGAGACAGTGGATTTAAAACTCGGAGATCTTCTCGGGAGGCTGTTCAAGCCACTAGAATTGCTTCGATCGCTTCTAACGCTCGGACTCTTACTTACCCTATTCAGGATACTACGAGGGAAGTTTTTTGTTAAATCTGAAACGCTAACTTTGGAGTCAGGATCTTCAGGATCACTATATATGGCACTATCACGGAATAAGTCATTTTCAAGCATATCTTCGATTACTTCAAAAGACCGCTCGTAATAACTATCCCCACCAGAATTCTCTCCGTCGAATTCTTCCAATGAACCGGATGAGTCATCTAAATTAAGCTCATCCAAGCCATTAAGCGTATCGGAAGGTGATGAATTTTTGCATGTAGAAGTTCCATCATCAGGAGATAATAACGATGCCACTCCGGTTTCTATGTTGCTTTCAATACTATTTTGGTCATTTTTAACATTAACTGTATTGATCGTAGCTAATTTTTCACCGATCGTTGAGCTGCCTTGCTTATATTGAGACATTGAATTAATTTCTAAAAGTGCTCTCGTGCTCTTGTCACAACTATCGTTCTTTACGGGACCACTGAACGTAGGTTTCAAGATAGGGCTTGATATTAACGGTCTAGTGCTTGTAACCGTACTGCACTCCTCTTCGGATCTTATTTGTTTGATTCTTTCCTTGAGTGTTTTGGTGCACTGACGAGCCATCGTGTACACCATCTTTCCTGGCGTCTTCTCTGAAGGAGTTTCCCTGCCACTAGCAACTGAGCTAACTTCGTCCTGAGTGAACGATTTTCTGGCGTTGATGAGTTTATTCATCATATTCATGAGACTGCTTCGAGAAAGGATTGCGCTGGTATAAATTTTGTGTTCAGGATGGACATCTAAAGTCCCTCCAAGTGATATATTTTCAGAGCAGTCCGTAAAAGTATCTTCGCAAACGGTGCTTTCGTTAGGAGAACTGGGTTGTAAAGTGCTACTTGTACTCACGGAACATTTATCACTTTGATGATCACCGATCACGTCGCCACTGCTGTCGTAAACTGCTATCGTGATTCGGCGATCTTTGCTTCCTGATGTTGGAGAGCCTTGAGTATCTTCCTCAGCAGTTGTTGCAACATCTCTGGCATCACAACTCAAATATCTTTTATCTAGGCTAGTTTCCGACGAGAATGACTGCACTCTTCTAACTGATAATCTTCTCAACTCGCTGCTTCTAGCAATGCCACTTTCCCCAGCCGTACACTTGATGCTACAATTTGAACCCACGGAGGAGTTATCCATGAAGCGTCGTTCAGGAGTTGCCCCTCTCACAGAACTCCAAGTATTGCTCAAATTATCGAAGCTTGAATTTGATGTTCTGAAAGCTGCCGCTCGTCTAGCGCCAAAGTCAGACAATCCTCTTGTGCAGATATCCACGGTTTTCGTAGAATTGGATTTAGTGGGACAATTATTTTGACTGATGGAAACGGCGCTACTGTAGACTGAAGTACATTCGCTAGAAGACCCAGTCTCTCGAGGTGCAGAGTCGGGATTCCTTGCCATGTAATCGCCATCGTCGCGACAGTTCTTGCCATGACGATCGAGATAATATTCTACATTATTTTCACTCAATTTTTCGCTCACGTCAACATTAAGATTAGGTTCCACCCCAGTTTCATGAGTCATGCAAACGTTAGCAGTTTCGTGAGGTGGTGGGACGTGATTGATGCTATTCAAGCTGTTGATGCTCGTGATTGGTAATCCGCTGTCATGACTTATTACGTCATCGTTTTCGGTGTCAGATGTCTCTGATGCTGTATTTGAAACATGTCCAGCAGCAATACCACGATTTCTCTTTCTTGACTGCAAACCCCGCCGATGTTTGTTCAGTAGCAGCTTCCGTAGGTGCAGATTGTGCTGCAATAGCTGGCTAACGATCTCTTCGAGATTTTCTTGAGTAGATTCGCCGTCTTCTTCGTCAGCACGTTTTGAATCGTTCGAGTTGTCGTCACGCTCACACTCCGATATGGAAAGACTATCCATCTGCACCTGCAAAACAAAAATTTTTTATAAAGCGCGTCTAGAAATATTAAGCTATAAGAAGCTATACACTGAGTGCGACCAGTTAAAATCTCAACAGGAAGTAACAAACAAAAAACAACAAAAAAGGCCTTTCATCCATCTAAATGCATGTTATTTACTACTGACACAATCACGTGTAAGTATTAAAATCGACGGACTATTCGAAGGAAAAAAATTTTTTTTAATGTAAAAACCACAAGGCTTGGTTAGAAATGAGCAAAAAACGTTATTTGTCATTGAGTATTTACTTTGGCGAACAGAAACAGAATGCCAAGATGTAAAAACTTCAGGAACTTGAAAACACAAATAAATATGTTAGTGCCACGCTCTGTAAGTTTCGACACTAAGAAATCCAGAAAAGTTACATAGAGTTTTGGCTGAGATAGCTGTGACGAGTCATCGGGCTCGAGAAGAACAGAGCAGCGGCCTGTGAAAGATAGGCGAGTAGGACAGCAGGAGGCGGGCAGGGACGATACCAGCATCACCTGGTGGCCGCACACACCAACCCAATAACATGGAAACCTTAGCAATTATGTCGGCACATTACAGGCGCCAAGACTCTCAAAGATATGAAAACTTAGAGACTTATTATTTGAAATAAATAGAAGTAACAGAGTAATACCTTAATCCTTTACTGAACCCCATCTGCTTTGTTGAGTGTGATTTAGTGATATGATGGTAATCGTGTAGAATAATTTAGAATCAGTATTAAGAATCGGGACTGTATTGCATTGAACAGTACAAATTTTATTGAACGGTGTTGGAAAAGACAATTCTCGCAATAGCGATTCAATCATTCTGACAAAGTCTAGAAACTATTCCCCGTTTTTAAACTCTTGTTGTGCCCAGTAGCTCAATGTTTCTTCAATTTTGCATCAATACTAATATTTTTGTACTAAAAAAGGTATGATGGATAAGAGAAAAATGCACGGAGCCGGAAAACAAGAGGAAGGAATGAGCTGAGAACGTTCATAACATAATTAAGACCATCGCTTTACCATACCATAAACACTGATCGCAATGAGGAAATCGTGGTAATAAGATTCATCTCTATCAAAAGTTAAAAAAAAAACTAGATAATGCAATACCATGCAAGGATCAGAGTGTGAGATGAAACAACATTGTGATCAATCAAATGTTGCAAGCGTGCCTCATCAAGATTCGACGCATTCACAAAAGATAAGATGATAAACACACGTTTTTTCCATCTACTGTTGAATGTCCTGCTCTACACCGGAAGTTCTCAATCACCTCTGGAGAGGGCAGAGGCTCATGACTGCATCCAGGAAAGTCTGCCCCAGAGGCGCTTTCAGTGGCAGGAGTATCAGGGGTGGAAGGTACGGTGGAGTAAACAGACGAGGGAGTGGTCGGAGTCTCGAGGCTGGGATTATTCTTCTGAACGTTCGGTTCTGACCGTCGTCGCCACATGTTCAGTCGCAGCTGGAGACAAGAAATTTAATGTAATTATATTTAACACGGTGTTTTTCATCGGAGATAACTTTCATATCGTTCGATATTTCTCTTTCACGGACAAACACAACAGGATGCGTTAAAATAGACTGGAAAAAATGATTGAACATTGGATCTTTCACCGTGCTCGTGCTTGCACTCCATTGAATTATTTTTGAAATAAAAATATTCTACGTTATTGTATTTCTATATATTATTTACATTTTTTATATTCCTATGTATTATTTCTTCTATTTTGAAATAAAAATATTCTATTCTATTAAATAAAAATATTATATTTCTAAATTTCTCACCTTAGGCCTATCAATGATCGGCACGAGAGAGCGCTGGCCATCGTCATCTTCTTCAGTGTCACGACCACGAGAAGCGCTCCGACTGCGTCCACTCTGTGATTAAGAAATTAGAGAGAAATTCAAGGGTAAGAGAAGAGAATACTAGCTTCATATCTGAGGAAAATTATCCTGTCATGATCAACAAGTTAGCAGCAAACAAGAAGCTTTCATACCAGGCAAATGACGTCGAAACAACCTATATTACACGATAGTTTCGTTGAAACAACGTTTAATCAACGTTTCTACGTTTGATGCCAGGCGGGTTATGAAAATAATTTTCATTACTACAATTTTTGAATCAATTCAATTAAGTTAAAGATTTTATATTCTATGTCTGTTGTTATAAAGTTGATTCACGTGTATGAATTCATGCAGCTAATTAGTACCTACAACAATAAACAAAAACCTCACATGATGCCAGCTAAGCTCACCTCCGCGGAGTCTTTACTGAGCCGCCGTAGCCTGAGTCTCGAGGAGCCTGTGGCGGGGGTCGACGGCACCTCAGACGCCCGGCGGCCGCGACGTTTTCTTTTCTGCAGATATTCTGGCCCTGCTGACGTCACTTGACGCCGTCCACTAGAAGATGCCGGTAACACTTCTGCAGCAATTGTTAGATGGTTAACAAATAACCAAATATTGTACTTTCTCTGATCACTGGATTGCATCAATTATTTATAATTCAAATGCAGACGATACTTGCAATTATAAAACGTATAACTTAAAAGTGGAGAGTATGTTCACAACTACAATGTGCAATGAAATTAAAAATATATATAACTAATATAATCTCATGAAAAATATTATCATTCATTGCGTAATATTAACCATCTTGCTTGGCACGTCCCAGCTCCATAACGAGCTGGCGCGCATGAGGCGGGATCTCTGCACTGTAGTTCTCTAGGATGAGGCGCTTGAGCTGCTGCGTCCATTCGTGTTTGTGTTCTCGGTTGCGAGCCTGCGACGAAAATTAAATCATTAGGGACATCGAAAGATTGCATTGCCACGGCAATTTTAAATGGTTTATGTATTTTTTTTCAACAAAAATTAAATTAAGAGACATCAACTTATATGACATATATTCTCGCTGCACCAACTAACCTGCAACGTGTACTGCAGGCGTGGGTTGTCGAAAGGAATGACCTGGAAGCACAGCGGCTCCCTAGGGATGCTCTCAATCAACATCAAGTTGGAGCACTGCACACAGAACATATTAATGAGGGAAACGTGAAAAAAATGAAATTTGCTAAAAATTTATAAGTTTGCAGTAAGTCTTAAAGAAAGCCGACATAATGTATCTAATTTAACACGAACCATGATATGAGCTTTGTACACAAGGATGTTTTCAATTTTCTTCTTGCAGATGAGCAGCATCTTAGAGAAGAGGAAGACGTGTCGAATTCCTTTGGCGGACACTATCCTAAAAGTTCCTTCAGCAGCGAGTTCCCCGAAAGTCGTCAAGTCAGCGCCCTGAGAAAAAAAATTGCATGAATGATTGTGAAACAAAGATGAAAAGAATAAAATTACCAACTACAATAGTCCGTAAGAAGTGGATTATTGATGATTTGCCTAACGCATTCAAGTATTATACAGTATGAGGCAAATTGTTCAACATGCAACATCCACAATATCAACTGTCGCACGAATTTCGTAAGTAAAAGCAGTCAAGAATTTGATACTGCATGGTCAAAGTTGATAAAGTGTGCCTTCAACCATTTTTGAAAATAGATTCGCATTTTCAATGTATAACTGATAATGTACGTACAAAACTGCCAAAAATTGAAGTTCTGTAACAGTCGAAATTTATTTCATTGAGATAGGTAACCGAGTTCGGTGAGTGCAGTTACATCCAGCTCTATCCTATTAATATGTAATGAAACACCAAACTCCAGAACCATGTACAGTAAGAATACAGCGTTTCCTACGACCAGCGGCAACAGTTTTTACAATACCCTGAAACTATCGCATTATTTACCATCCAACCATAGAGAAGACTTTGGATCTCTTGCACTCTGACGCAATGCTCGTGCTTGCGTTTCATGTCGTTGATATGGTGAGCCATTCCAGTCATTGCGTTCCGAGCGTTCAGTATGACGTTGTATCTGGGAGTAGAAATTAGCTTAAATTAAAACAGTTAAATTAGTTAAAAACAGTAAGCAAACTTCGGTATCAGGAGAAATTTCATCCAAACCAAAATAGATGTACAAGGGATAATTTAAGTTTGGGCTTCAAAAATGCTTAACAATGCGGCTAAATGGATTGTGATACATAACACGTATATTGTGAATGTGCACGACGGTATATCCTTATGTTTTACAAATCGCACCCATCGCTATTCTTCTCTCCATCAAAGTTCTTCAAGATGTTTTCAAGCAGGAGGTGATACTTTAGTATTCGTTGTACGGGCTTCAATAGATATGAACCGAGCGGCAACGTGTGTCCGAGTGCCTGCTGGCGTCGTCTGAAGCAAGCAACCGATTCTTCGTTGCTCATAAGTTCCGTCAGCAGCGAGACCGTTCTGAGAAACATATTACAAATTCAAATAATAAAAACAGGAAAGATATATTGAGTATTCATTAAGAGTTCTTAACATTAACTCGTAATATTTAGACGTCCAAGCAGTCAGTTATATACAAGTGCAATTTGCTCCAAATAATAATCGGCGAGTACACTGGGACACAGAAAACCTGTGATGAGACCTGGTTTAAACACAAGTTCCTTTACATACGGCCAAGTCTGACTATAGAAGTCCATGCAATACTCACCGTGGGTAATGCGTGCAGTACTGAGTGTAGATAGAAAAACCCGCATTATTTCTCACGAAAATACGGGCCAGTAGAACAGGGTCAACACCACATGACTCAAGCTCTCGTAGAAGTAATCTGAAAACAATAAATTATAGGTTAACTGAGAATATAAAAAACTTATTATTTTCCGTCGCGTTTTGTTTCATTTGTAATTTAGGTTTTAATATTTTCGTCGTGCATCAACATCGGTTGTGTTAATTAATTGTACTCGTATCAATGGATTTTTCAACTGAACACGGAGCTGTTCTACTAAAAGTTTCGAGACATTGTGAAATTTTTTGGCACTTTATAAGCTTGGAACTTCCTAGCTAATTTGCGATTCGAGCAATCAAGGGATTTTGAGACTTAAAAATGTACAAGGAATAAATTTTAGACACGGATAATGTAATAATTTTGAAACTCACAGATGAGAAAGGAGAAATTTTTGTCACTCGTAATTATGTATGATTTGAAACGGTACAGATTGTTCCAAGAAAATTTTTGAAAAATCATTATCAATTAGAATTTACACACAAATGTAGTTGAAAACAGGAGTTTTACGTCTAAAGATAAACCTGCCACCAATTGATTTGCTTAAAAAAAACGGAAAAATACAACTATACAAAATACAATTATTTTCCATTTTCAATGTAAGTGAAATATTCACCTGTTGAAATCGTATATCTCGGTGAGGTTAGAGAAAAGTTCCGTGGCTTGCAAGGGAGAGACGCCTCTGTCTTCGCTTCGTAGCCATGGCTCCAGGTAACCCTAAAACATAGAAAATAAAATGATATATTAAGCAAAGAAAATTATATATTAAGAGAAAAAATTGACATACTAAGAAAAGAAAATTATGAACACATAGCGAGTAATTTTAAATCGGAGAATTGCAGTCTATTCCCTTACTCCTGAACTTCTTGAAATGACAGTGAGATTAATATTATGAAACTCAATGTAGGAGCCGCGTGAACATTTGGATCTGTGAGTAGAATAATTTTTAGACGTTCAATTATATAATAAAAAATTATTATTTAATATAAATATATTGATAATATTTATACAAAAAATTAATATTTAATCATCTGAGAGGTTCCCAGTTGAAAAAAAAATAGAAATTATGATGACACCGATTTTCAAAACATTCATTGAGATGGGCGAAATAAATAAGAATCATTAAGCGAAAGCGCAACCATAAAACATTCCCTAACTTCCACAGCGCCTTCGCTTTCGAGCGAGGCTTCCCAGTATATAATCGTCTGCCTAGAAGAGTTGATTAAAGTTTCTTAGAACTCCAGATAACATTTCAGTCAAATATTTTAAGAGTTCAGATGTATGAGCCCATGTTCTCGGTGATACGTAACTTCGTTTAATTAAGCACGAGATAAATTTAATCGTGATTATACAAGGAAAATACTCTCAGCAGTTATGAACAAATATTTATACGCATACAACAAGGAGCCGTAACAATCGAGGAGTAACCATCTTCCATGACCTACTACTACCGCAGTCCCGGTCAGGGCAGAAATATAGGCTTAACGACCAAAATCAGATAACATGGTACGGCAGTAGCCGCGCAGCACGATGACAGGCTTCGGTCGCGACGGTGGAATTTGGATGTAAGTTGACCGTCCGCGCCCCGTCACTGATTGATGTGTTAAACAAACGCTCCTGATGTCAATGGAGTCGCCAGACAAGAACAAGAAAAAAACATCGATCGACGACAGGCTCGATCAGGGTATAGACAGGTTCAGGAGACCAGATAAGAGAGGTTTCCAATTACTTTCAACCTACAAATACCAGATAAAGACAACGAATTATAGACTTTCTCGTAGAGTTGTTCTACACAGAAATACTTATCGTAATTTATAGTTTTGTGGTTCAATACAAACAATAACAATGTTTATTTTGTTAAATATTAAAATCAACTTCGAAATTTACGCAACCGATGCGCAAATAAGAACTTCCCAATTCATTTTTTAAGTAAGGAATTCTATGATTTTTGTTAATTAGCGCACGATATGATAAGATACTTTGGCAAATTAACGTGTCTTACAGTTTCGCTCCCTTACTGACGTATTCAGGCCAAACTTCTTTGCCAAGCCAACAAAATAACGTATGAAAAAAGCCAGATTAAAACGAATTGAAGCCTTTTTGAGATACCACACACAGAAACCTTTAGTCCGGCACAAGAAAGTTACCGCTGCTCATGGAACTGGTCATAAATAAACTGAAATAATTCATGGCGTAGTAAACCAAGCAGCTTGCAGCAGAGCCCCGTAAAATAAAGTCTTTGATTATATGAGCGATCTCTTTATTCTGGCCACGAGAGAACCGGCGGGTCAGCTCCGTGTCCCATTCATTAGCCGCGGTTCAAATGCCACAGCTCATTATGCATAAAAAGCTTAATATGCAATGATGCACGGTCATCCTAGGCTCCTAATTGCATAGCTTTCAACTGCAGTTGGTCTCCGTACAATGACTTCGTACGGCTGCAAGGTAGCCTCTATAGACCAAGCGTTCACTCTCACACGGCGCAGGTCGAGGGTCACACTTGCTGAAGAATGCAATTAATATTGCTAAGTGAAAGACAGGCTTTGCGACACCAACATTCCGTCGCTTCAGTATAATTGGCACAGACATTCAGTTTCTGGCACAAGCATTATATTATTTAAACCCAAATTTCAGAACTATTGGAATAGGACATGCATGTAATCTGAACTTTGGAAATATTTCGAATGGTAGTAATTAAACGAAATTTTTATTATGAAGATTAAAAAAATTTTAACAACTATGAGAGCGATTAAGATCTTTTCTGCACGAAATAAGTGAAGAGTAAAAAAAAACTACACGCTTTCACTGACAAAATTACCACATTGCGAGCTTGGAAAATCGAAACACGATTTGAAACGTTAAACCGCACTGAACAACGAACTTTATAAGGGTTTGTGTTAATGGAACTCAGAGTACAATCAAATCTTAAGAACTATATGAAAATTTATCCCATTCAATTTTTTCGGTCGCCGTGTATCAAAAACGTTGAAAAATAAATGAAATAAACGAAAGCCTGTTGGCTATTTTTGACAGCTGCATCCAGTATTTGAATGATTTCCTACGTCCAGGGTCTATAGATGGAAGCATCACCTGTGAGCAGCAGATAACCAGAGCCCATATCCCAGCGAGGACTAGGACTAACACTGTCTAGTTACAAGAACTACTATAGATGCCACATTCATCAGAACGCTAAAACCTAAGTAATGACAGCCATAAACAAGCGTGGATTGGAAGGCGCATCTCGTGTGAGTGCGGCTACAAAGATTTGCCTAAATAGCAGTCTTCTGCGCATGAGGAGCAACAATGGTCGCTCACAAACGCGTCCGCACCACAATGCACCGTTGAGTGGGGCCGCACAGTGGACCTCTCATGGCCCTATATTCCCCGAGGGCATAAAGACCATGGGGAACTAGCGTGCGTTCTTCCCTTCATCGAACCTTCGTCACGCAGCTCCAGTGACGCCAAGGACACGCAAGCATAATCATGCAGCGGCTCTATCAAGTCAGTCCATAGATGGACATCCGTACCCTATAAATAAATGAGCTTATGCGATCTTTGATTGTTTCATTATTTCTTCACATTGTACTGTCATAGTTAAAATTAAATTTACTTATTCATTCATTAAATTTCGGTACTTTAATTTTTCATATACCAAATGAGACGAAACTATTTTACGATTGAGCGTTCCTTAATCTTGAAAATTTATACACAAAAATCAGGTTCTTACATACATTTTTTATATCAAACTATCATTTGATGAAAATTATTCGAAAGTTATTTCATATTTGACAGATAAGTAATGCAGATGAGCAGCTTTGAGAGACCTGCTGCATGAACTTGGCACAAGCACACGAACATCAATGGAACGACTCTCGCACAATCAGGTATCGATGAGTTTGTAGGTCAAGAGACTATTGGATATTCCAGATGTGACCGTTCTTAGCCGTATGCCATTGATGTTTATTGATTTAGTATACGCACATATTGATTTAGCGTGTGCACATTGATTGAGATCAGATTGTATTGAAGATCAGAGCCACGGACCAAGGAATGGATTAAATTGTTATCTCAAGTTAATCTTTAACAACGGCAAAAATTCACACCATTCGAAATCCCCCTAATTGGCCAAGAGAATTGGCCAAGAGAATTTGAGCGTAATGATTTGAGTTTCTGGATTTAAAGTAATATTATTCGATTTTTCCAGGCATTGAAAAATAAGATAACTTTTAAACCACTACTTCTATCCACAGCTGACATTCAAAACTGCTTCGCCAGGCAACTTATACTAATTTCTTCCGCAGATAATTGTGTTCTGTACTTCATCCAAAAACGGAGAAGCCGCCGCATTTATACGGTTTGTTGCCCAACATTTTACGCGCGAGAAACCCAGCACCAGTACGAGAAGTAGAGACGCTGACCGGCGGTACATCGCAGCGACTGGCGCCTGCGTGCCCTTATTGGGGGAGGCTGTGTTTACAAGGATCCTATCCTCCAACAACCATCAAGTCCGTGCCTCATCTGCCATTGATTCTGAGATCGAGTGCAGTCTGGGATTGTGTATCACTACAACTCTCGACTGACCAGAATACAGGCAACGGCGCCACGGGGTCGACGCTTTCAATACAAGTGCTTAGTTATGGCATTGAGACTTGACGCTCGGGTCAGACGCGCGCATTCAGTGAGGCGCCATGAAATAGAAACGACCGTCTCCTTCAGTACGCAACAAGGATTACGTATAATGCCATGAGTAATCGCTGGGTACAGCGATTGAAAAACCACTACAATAAAAAGAAAAATACTTTGAATCTATCAAGAAAAGGCTAACTAAAGAAAATGGTTATTTCGAAATATAATCTAAAATAAGAAACGAGAATATTTTTGAAAGAAGCAGATGTTGACCACTATAAGAAACTTTGCAGCAGACAGACAAGTTGATCCGGTTAGGGCTATACACCTACGCAGGCCGATGAGAATACCACTCAATACCAGCAATAAAAAACTATCTTGATCAGAGCAAACAGGGCATGAAAATAATTGGGGAAACAGCACCAGGACACTGTCCCATAGAGCTCTATAAAAACAAGTACAGAGATCTACCGATACGAGCAAAATAACGCAGGCAAGTCTTCTTGCCAAAGGCTAGTATATGCAAGTCTGGCCTTCCCCGGTTTCACACAATTAATTCAAGGTGATGTTAATTTGTGAAAATATCTCAGACATTTTGCATAGTTGAGCGGCTATGCAAATCATTATTCGTTCAACATGACTATTTGAAACGTAAGTTCGAAAAGTCATATTGTACCTCGTAAAATACTGGAGCTACGATCCGAAAAATAATGCTGCCTAAAGATAACTTCACATATGTAATAGATTTACTAGTCAATTAAGTAATACTGTTTCTCTTTATGAAAGATAAATAAGAAATCATTTGCTATCTGTTGCAATACGGAGTAAATTGTTCCATGTGCTAAAGGTGAAAATGCTAATAGCAACTGCAACATGAAACGAATAATGTGCAACTCGATGCACCCAAAGCTGCGAACGACAGCACCTGCAACACGAAGCACATGCAGCAACTTTGAGCACATGCAAACAGAGCCGGCGCCTCGATACAGTGGCAGCCAAATTAGCCACCTCACACAATCCCGACCTTATCTCATGAGCATGCAAGGCACGAGGCATCACTGATGCTAAACACGTAGTATTGGTCGCTATGAGAGCAACTACAACACAGTCACCTCAATGCCCCAATGCACCCTCAGCAGCAGCAGCAGCAGTTTATGTAAATGCAGGACCCATCAATGAGTTGTAGCTACACGTGCAGGAAGAACGGAGTTGCTCAACGTATGCAGGAGCTACTGAAACGGATGGTTATAACCAAACGGTAGACTTGGTTTTGTTTGACCGGTCCACGTGGCGCCAGATGTTCCGGTCATATATATACGACTGCCCTAGCATCCCTTAAATCGTTGGTCATGCAGGAAAGTCCTGATGGTTTCGTAGGCGCCATCATCGGTCAGAAATAAGGGGTTCCAAAAATCTTACGATAAAAATACACATTTGTTTAGAAAAATAAAGTTCCAGAGGCAATTGTTTTTCACTCTTTTTACTAGAGAGGATGATGAATATGTATGAATTACATTACTGTGGTATTTTACCACGAAGTACTTTTCATCATATCGATTCTTCTTTTAGCAAATTAATATCAATAGATATATGACGCCATAATTTAGTTTGTAATATGTTCGACGTTGTGCTTGATGAGGTTATCATGATGGTTATATAACTTATCATGGTCATTATTTCTCGATCAGAAAGTGTTTCGTTGCGACAAAAGTCACAAAACCATAAAAATGCTACACTAAATTCCATCACAACAGCAATAACAACAGCTAAGTAATTCTGTGGCAGACGGAAGTAATGAAAGATCTATAGATGGAAGCATCACGGCGAAACAGCGAAACCACTTTAATATACTTTAATACTGTAATTTTCAATGTCTATTATTCTAGTATTCATGCATCAAAATTTAAACTCGCATTGTGAACGCACCTGAATGACCTCCATGAGACCGTGCACGTAAGAAGCTTCGGTATCGAGCACCTCCATGACAAGCAGGTCCATGTGTGATAGCGGCCTTCCTTCATCGTAGGCTGGGTGATGGAGGTGATGCCGTTGGAGTAGATGATGAGGGTAATGATGGCTGCCAGAGGGTGGAGCAGAGGAGGATGATGAGGGGGAGGACAGCGCCGGCAAAGCGTGACACTGAGCCACTCCGCTGTCACAAGAACCTGCACCAGCGAAAGAAAACAACAAATTTACGTAACTCGTTTGGTTGCAGCGCAAGCAATAGATATATAATGTTGATGTTTGCTCAATTCCTTCCTTTGCAACAGAATAATAATAAATAAACATAAACATGATGTAAACAAAGTTTTTAGTTTGTCACCAGGACCAATAACATGAAAATTAGACGAGGAGTGACTGATAGCACAGAAAAATTCAGACACAAACATGCCCAACATTAAAAATTTAGTAATTCAAAAAAATTTACTTCAATGATCGTGAAACCTGATAAATGGATTTTTTTAGACTAGACAAAATACTGATCAATAACACGTAAACAACCTCATGATTTTTGATGAGAATATCGTTTGCTTTGTCCATTCAAAAGCATTCCTGAGATCAAAGATTACGGGGCTCTGAAAAACGAACACGTATTATGAAACATTTCAGCAGAAGTCGTGATGGAAGAAGAAAGCGGGTAAATATCACTTTCTAGGGATTATCTTGAATAGGTTTAAGCGTTGCTCGCTCCCACCACATAAACAACTTGATAAGGGCCCGGTCTGACCTCTACACCGACTCTTCCAGCAAGTGATCCTATCACGGTCTGTAGGGCTGAAGTAGAAGCCGCTACAAGCATTTGCCAAAGCGGCTCAATTACTATACAGGAGACGTTCGGCGTCTGGCGCCACAGCAGCAATTATCTGAGCTTTCAAACCGACGGGTTTCAGCTAAAATATTGAGCTTTCTTGCAGCAAGAGACTAGTTCGTAAAAAGGTTTTTTTTAATAAACCTGATAGTTAATAAAAATGTACAATTTTTTAACAGTTTGATTGCTTCTGAGGAAACATCAGCTAACATTAGCATTAAAACATTAACATACGCACTTCATTCTCAGAAAATCGTATTGCAATTCATAATAATTGCCGGCAAAAACAAGCTAAATTTCACGGTAGTCAGTGAGAAACACATCGGCGAACAATATAATTTTCCACGTAGAAGCTCATCAATCGATCGTTTCTGCGAAAGGTTTAAGAAGTTGATAACCGTAGCGGCACAACTCAGCTCAGGAACGTGTGAAAAAAGTAGACAATAGCGAAGAAAGTGGCAATTTTCACACGTCTAGCTGCGTTTACTCTGCGCCCTGCCATGCTTGGGGGCTGTGGCGCCCACGAAGCGTCGGGCGCCAGCAGTTCATTAGAGAAAGAATTCGGCTTCTCCCTAATTCGTGGAAATGTACATCATAACATCTTATCCGTTCCTCGGGCCAAACAGCTTTCAGTTGAAGATTTTTTTAAATATTTCATAAAAACTGTAAAGCATAAAACCAGTACCTATTATGATCAAAACCCTTATACATTCCTTGAATTAAGCCGTAAGATACGGTGAGAAGTATATTTCCAACATATACTGCCAAAAGGAACGGCCATAATTAACAGCATTGTTGCCTTACAAATTAATCCTGATACCTAGAAGGCAGTGCGCCGGCCGGAGTTATTTCAGTGATTGTTTCCCCGAAACAAAAGGGTCAACAAACGACCACCTGTCGCCACCACAGCAATGAACTTGAAACGTTCTTCAGAAAATTTTGATAGACCTTTCTACAACAATATATATAGCTCATTGTGCGGTAGGCTAAACACGCCAGTTTGAAGAGTAAACAAAATTAATTCAGACATGAATATGTGTCTCTGGGGTACGATTATGTTTAGGAAGTATGTATCGCAGGGCGATGTTCTACCAACATTCACGCGATGTTAGAATAAAAAGGCAACTGATTTACATTTCGAAGAGCTATCATTCAGAAATCTAGGGGAATATTTTGATAATATTTTTCTTTAACATAGACGCGAATAAAACTGTGACGTCTAACTTAAATTATCCCGAACTTTAAAATAATTTCTATTTCCACTAATTCAAAGTCTTGAGACGTATTCATTCACCTTTCTCCATGAGCATAAAGAACATCATTGTTCATTTCTCGCAGTGGTTTCTAAGAATATTCGAGGTTTGCATCGCAATTATACCACTAATCTAACAAAAAAATTGAGATTTACACTCGAAAATGATTATTTAAGCTATAGAATGTGGCACATTCCCAAACAAAAATGGAAAAAACTACACTAACCGATAACATCTACTTTCGAACAAGTAATGTACTTTGGTGACATAAAAAAATTATTTAAACATCCATGTGAGCTAAAATCCAATCGAGTAACAATATTGAAGAAGATTTAAGAATGACATGAGTAGATATTCCGTTAGCGTCAGCATTCCGAAAACAGAAGAACTTCACATGCATATAATCGAGTTTTTCATGATAATGCAAATTCATTCAGATATACCATGAGAGAAAAAACATATCTCTAATAAAAAAAAAACATATTTCTCAATTTAAAAACATCGATCAGGATGTCTTTAGAAACTTTGAATTACAACAATCCAGCTAATATGAAGTAAAAAAAAAGCAAGGAATGCCCACGAATATACAAAGTGTTCTAGTGAGATGAAATTTCTATAATTTCTAATTAGATGAAATTGGAAGACAATACATTCCCCGTAGCAGATGCAAGCATCGAAAAATTAAACGAGACATTTTCCAAGAAGTGATTCACTTTTAGCCCATAAGGGGTTAGGTACTCTATAAGTTTATCTCAATAAAAGGGCGTATCAGTGCTATATACGTTCAATCTTTGCTCGAGCAGTGGGTATAAGTAAGTGCGTCAATATTTGGATAGTGAACTGTTTATTTTTCTGACAGTAGTGCCGATGTGACTAAGCGATGTGTATGAGGCGTCACCAGCCAAATCATATTCAGTAATAAAAACTTAGATGCGGTAGTAACGCTGCTTGAGGTTTTAACGTGTATAGATGATGAGTTGTCTCGAACACATGAAAAGTTACTGAAGCTATTAGCCTATTACACCACATTTGAAAATCTTAGCGGTTCCAGTTAGTATTTTACTAAACATTCTTAATGAGAACGACTACCACCCACCCTGAAATGACGATCGGATCTACTTACATTAGTTTAAAGAATAGAAAGTATTCTTCACGCAGGCGACAAAAACTCTTTTTTAATGTTTAAAAGTGATTCTTAACAATGGCACATGCCTCTCATTAAAAACATTGGTTAGTCTATGCGAAGGGACTATTATAGGACCAAGAACACAAATCCATAATGAAATCTGTTCAAAGCAGCTAACTAACAGTATTGGTGAATCTAACTTTAGTAGACCAGGTAACTGCCTATAATTACATACACAAGAGACGACAAAGAAAAACAGTAATTACACACGCTGTCGGTCTGTTCAGTGTCACCAGATAGAACCCCAAAACCGAACATGCTTCTTTCACGCAGAACTCTTATTCAAAGTGTGAGTAAAATCCTTTACGTTTCACATAATTAATTTTCCTCTGTAAAATAAATTAAATGAGTTTAGAATTATCTGTAAGAGCAAGTCACGAAAAATGGGTTAACAAACATTTGAGATGAACTATTATTTTTATTATCTAGTCGGATGCGATGTTTAACTGCCGGTTGAGTTCTTCGCTTGAAAGTGGTCTTTAAAAAGTATTTAATTTTTGTTAAGGCTAAATCACTAGTTATTGGTTGAAATATACCTACGCCACTTTCGTGTACTTTACAACATGTGGGATTCGACGGTTATTCTACGGTTTACAACATGTGAGATTCGACGGTTATGTTTATTATTGTATCGGTAATATATACGTAATATATAGATTTGACTCGCAAAAATATCATAACCTTTTTAAAAATATCTTTTTTTAAACCTTTCACGATGAACCACTAAGTGAAGTTAATTGCGCAGAATCAGAGGATGGAAAAACGCAGGTTTATCGCGTTTCGAGGACATCGCAGGTACCACCTTACATTAGAGCCACAGCGACATCAAGGCTCACACCAACAAAAACTACACAGAAAACCGCTATCTCCGCAAATAATGGCCTCGAATGTTTATCTCCAACTGAAGGGTTCTAATGAAATGAACCGTGCACCAGAGGGAACACATCTCTCAGAAATAGGGTCAATCGAAAAGATAATTTGGAGGCCATGTGTCTTGCAGTGAATTATACGCATCTTGCAAGATGGTTGTTCGTGCATTAGAGGGCTTTAAAACTAATGCATCACCAAGACTTCAATTAGTCTAGTCCTTGAACTGGTGCAGTGTATGTAAGTCCATGACACGGTCTTTGCTCGCGATAAAACATTAACATGAAATACTCAAAGGTCAATACTTAAGGTAATGTATCAACAAGAGGCGCTAAATTGAATAGTTTTTGATAAGGATATTGAAGCTTAAAATAAAAAATTAAATTGTACAAGGGCCTCAAATATAGACACGAATATGCGTAGGAACACTCTATCCATGAATTACAAAATATTTGATTTGTGATGTACCTCATCACACTTTCGCCCTGACATGATGTAAAATGCAATTGCATTCAAGTGAAGTTTTTTGTAAAAAGATTATTGCGATTTACTCGTTGACGAACCACAGCTAGTCGACCCGAATATAAGAGGGCAGTCTGCCCACCAGGGCTAATTTCTTGAAAGGAAAACAAGTTTTTTTAGGTAACACGTGCATCCTTGGCCGATAGTTCAGACGCTGCAAGTTCTAAATTCAAGCAATTGGATAGCGATGACGTTTACACGCCTTTAAATTATATGGTCTTTAAATTATCCATAACAAATTTAAATAACAATAAACTTTCCATTTCTCCGGATTTTTTAAAAAGAATTACGAATGATTTAGCTTAACTTGTTACCGTTGTCGCGCAGCACAAAAGTATATGAAGCGGTCTCTAAAATATAACAAGAAAATATTTCAACAGTGCATGAATCTCATCGCCGTGTGTTTTCTTATATCAGCAATTTCAAAGTTAGAGATCAAACGGATACGGTATAGTTTTTCATTGTCTAATTTATAATTTTTATAATAATGCTTCTTTAAAGACGTAACAGAAATAGCATTGAAGCTGA